TGTTGTTCTACGTGGATGAAGTCGCGAGAAGGAAGGAAAAAGGTAACAGTTAGTTTTCTTTTAAAATGTATTGGAATTTACATTTAATCTCATAAATAGGTACGTCTTATAAAAATCAACTTGACGAGATTGTCACAAAGGTCATTTTACACTGATAGCGTTCATTATTTCATTCTATACTTATTTCTCCGCTACTCAATTAGTGATGTGCCAGTATCAGTACCTACAGATGTTATAGATGTATATAGATATAGATAAATTTAATATGATTGCCTAACATACATGCAAGATATTATAAGAGGTTTATTAGATTCCATAGTAGCAACATACGCCCGCGACACTTTTTAGAAGACCATTTTTTTATATCAAAAAAGTATATTTATAATTACTCGTGTTATGAATATTCCTAAACTTATGTACAAGTACGTTAAATATTATTATTTGATTTAAGTTAACCAAACTCCTAAGAATTTTTATGTTTTAATTATATCTACTATAGGTCTGGCTTAGAGTATCTATTTAAAATACGCTAAGAGGTCCGGCCGATCTATCGATATCAATAATGTAACAAATATCCCGACCCAGGTTGAACAGCATTTATTGACTTATGGCGCGATTGTCAACCTCCCCTATGCTTATTATACTCTTTGGTCAACCTCTTACGTAACAGTTAACTTGTCAGTGAAATCTACTTTGACATAACTAATCTAATTGACTTGCTATTTTGAAACGAATGACATTCCTGCCAGTATTAGTATTTATATGTATTTATTAATAAATGGGTATTGATATATTGACAACAAAATAAAACTGAAATCACTTAAATCAACCCATGGGTTTTTTAGTTATTGATATTTTTGTAGTTAGATCAGGATTTTTTCACCAAAACTGAAAATGTTGAATACCTCAGAAACTAGCCACTTTCGGACCAGAGACCTCAGGGCTAATTTTGTAGGAAATCTATATATATAAAAATCAATGCCACTTTTCGTTGTAATTCCATAACTCAAGAACGGGCTCACCTATCCAAACCAAATGCTTAGGATTTGGTCGGCATATTTAGTAGATGGTTTATGTGAAGTTTGCACAAAATCGGTCGAGCGGTTCCTCATTTGTCACATTTTTTGTAATAAATGAATTCAATAGAAACTTTTTTCACAGAAACTTTTTTGAAGTTTTGTTGACAGGACAAGCACGTTGTTATGTCATTCATGCCGTCAGTTCATTTTGGACGTGGTTTGATTAAAGCATATTATCAGCGATAAATTTCTTTTCACATAATTGCATTTGCAGTGCATTCATACAAACGGTGAGTCCTGAATTTATGTGTACTTTTCTAAGTTGCCGTATATGATTTCACATAGCATCATATGCGACAGCTTCTTGGGAATTTGTTTTTTTTTTGTTCTAATTTTTTTTTTCGATTTTTAAGCGAAAACATATGTGCATACGGGAAAAATGCCACCAGCCAGACGAGCAAATATAGGTCACAGACTGCAGATGAACGCGCACAAGCTAATGCATCGCAGCGTGAACGTAATGCACGCAATGGATTTGTTAACCCAGTACCTGTACTGAATCTTGCACGGCCATCACGAATACGTCGTGCTGTTTTGGCTGAAATGATGCGTGCTGCTTTTAATTACAACAGTCAGATTGATTATAGTATGTATGGATACATTGGAATGATGGACGCAATATGTCCACATTGTGATGCGGCTAACTTTCCAGGTGAAACGCCCGGCATGTGTTGTGCTAATGGCAAAGTGAGATTGCCAGCATTAGAAACTCCACCCGAACCATTGTATTCATTTATTTTTGGGACATCGCAAGCGTCGAAGCACTTTCTGAGTCATATTCAACAATACAATTCGGCATTTCAAATGACTTCTTTTGGTGCAACTAAAAATATTAGAGATAATTTTATGCCGACGTTTAAGGTAAATACTTCAACAGGATTATTCCATGTTTGTATCAATCTGAAGCATAAAGTATATTTAAAAAAAAACTGATATAAGATTTACCTAAAATTGTATACATGTTACAGATTCAGGGCCAGATTTATCATCAAGCTGGTTCGTTATTGCCATACCCCGACGCTGATCATCAATTTTTGCAAATTTATTTATTGGTGATGAAAATCGTGAATTGGATCAACGTTGTGCAATTGTTTCGAATACAAGACGAGAAATTATTCGTGAGCTACAAAGGTTTTTCCATCAGCATAACGCATTAGTTGTTAAAATTGCTCTCGATCGTATGCCAACTGATAATCACAAAATCGTAATAAGAGCTGATAGAACACCTTTTGGAGAGCATGCAAGGCGATTTAATGCACCAACAATTGATGAGGTTGCAATTGTAATTCTTGGTGATCAGTTTCAATCCCTTGATATTGTACTTCATCGTAGAAATGAGCAATTGCAACGTGTTTCGGAACTTCATCGTAGTTACGATGCATTACAGTACCCAATATTGCATTGGAAAGGTGACGATGGTTACCATATCAATATACCAATGATTGATCCACGAACAGGTAAATAATTGACCTATTTTTAGTGTGTTGACATTTCATTTCTACAACTTTCTAAAGTCACATTTTGTAATTATTATATGATACAATCATGCAAGCCGTTTCCAATAATGCAGGTGGATTATATTTTTTGGATGCACCTGGTGGCACAGGTAAAACGTTCGTTATATCATTGATTTTAGCGACTATTCGATCAGATCAGAAAATTGCACTAGCACTTGCATCTTCGGGAATTGCTGCTACATTATTAGAAGGTGGTCGGACCGCACACTCTGCATTAAAATTGCCATTGAATGTACAGGTGATTGAAACTCCAACTTGCAATATATCGAGAAATTCTGCTATGGCAAAAGTTCTGCGATTAACGTCAATTATTTTATGGGATGAGTGTACAATGGCGAATAAAAAATCACTAGAAGCATTCAATCGAACAATGCAAGATTTACGTGGTAATCAACAGCTTTTTGGTGGTGCTTTGATATTACTTTCAGGGGATTTTCGTCAAACATTGCCTGTCATTCCTCGATCAACTCGCTGATGAAATAAATGCCTGCTTGAAGTCATCAGTTCTTTGGAGATATCTACAAAAATTGACACTAAACATTAATATGCGTGTTCACCTACAAAATGATCCAGCTGCCCATGAGTTCTCAAAACAATTGTTAGAAATTGGTGACGGCAAAATACAAATCGACAGAACCAACGGATTGATCGCTGTACCGAACAATTTTTGTACAATTGCGCAATCGATAGATGAATTGATTGAATGTGTTTTTCCGAATATTGTTCAGAATTACAGAAATCATGATTGGTTGACAGAACGCGCCATTTTAGCACCGAAAAACATTCATGTCAATGCAATTAATTTTCAAATTCAAGCGAAACTGCCAGGCGTAGTCACGAAATATAAATCAATTGACAGTGTTATGAATCAAGATGAGGCAATGAATTATCCAATTGAATTTTTAAATTCATTGGAGCCGGCTGGTATGCCACCGCATTGCTTGAATCTGAAAGTTGGTTCTTCGATTATATTATTGCGAAATATTAATCCACCAAAACTGTGTAACGTAACCAGATTGGCAGTGAAAAAGTTATTGCCAAATTTGATTGAAGCTACGATCTTAACTGGTAAATCAAAAGGAGAAGTTGTTTTGATACCGCGTATACCTATGATTCCAACTGATATGCCTTTTGAGTTCAAACGTTTACAATATCCTGTGCGTTTATCATTTGCGATGTCCATCAACAAGGCCCAAGGTCAAACACTTCACGTTTGTGGTGTGAATTTGGAGGAACATTGTTTTTCACATGGCCAGTTATATGTTGCCTGTTCCAGAGTCGGTACCCCCAGCCGTTTGTTTATTTATGCTCAAAATGGAAAAACAAAAAATATTGTTTATCCAAATGTTTTGGATTAAGTGTGTTGTAAATAGCTAGCAATTGATTTCGATTTTAAATAAAATATTTTTTTGATTAAATAAATGAATTTGATGTTCCGATTTGTTTATTTTATTTCACTTTATACGTAGCGAAGCACGTACCGGGCCGCTAGTTAGTTATATTATCATCACCCGAGAGGAATACGTCGGATTATAAGTCACCCTGTATATTTCTCCACCGAAGCCCTATAGTGTGACCTGGCAACTCTACATCAGTGCTTCATCAAAAACGGTACCGGTTACCTTACGTTTCTTTAGTCTATTTAATTATTTATAAAAATTTAATGAAATAAACACAATTACAATATAATATATGGTGGTTTTTTTTGAGGGGGAAAATCATCCAATGACTTCTCCCGCCTTGGGTTGGGCGAGAGGGAATGTCAGATCAGTCCCTCACTGACTAAAAACCACTCCATTCCTACACCTGTTCTTCGAGCCGGAACCCAGGCAACCGGTGTTTTGTGTTTGAATGTTTTGTGACGCGCGGAAATGAATGGAGATTGCTCCTACTCCATTGAGTAGCATCCATTATGCTACTTTCCTAGTTTAATTAACTATTCCATGGTTTTACCTAAATAACAAAGCTAGTCATTCAAAAAAGAAAATAAAAACAATTTATTCGAAAAGAAAACGCGAAGCCGGCAGGGCTTATTATAATTTTCCACAAATTCAAAATTGAATATGGCGGGTGGTCGTATAGAACTAAAAAGATAAGTGTTCAAGTTGTAAAAAAGTTAAGTATTGACTGTCTAGTCAAGTGGAACGGCGCGGTCAGGTAGGGGCTGTGGCGGCAGTGCGCATGTCTGTCTAGTTGTCCGGTCCGCGCACTTGCGCAGTCTGTGCACCAGTCAAATTTATTTCGTCGGAGGCGCTTGACGTCTCTTCGCGGCTCGGTCAATTTATTTATTATCTGAAATTAAAGTGATAATTTGTGATCCAAAAGGAACTCTGAAATACTGCGCTCAGTGATAACAACTTTTTGAGTTACTTGGTTCGGTTCGGAACCAAGTAAAGTATTCACTATGGATTGGGCCGTACCAGGAGGAATGCCAGAAATCAACGACGTTTTTGATGAAGTTACCAAAATCACTTCTGATTTACTGCCCAAAAACTACAGCGGCGATGTGCGCTCCACAAGGTGATTATTTTGGGTAATAAGTAAGCTGTGGTTGCATGCTCTGTGATTAATCATAAGATGACCGCTGGAGCGACACACCTCGTCAAGGTTTGTGTCTTTTTACGGTTTGTATGAGTGCGTTCGTACTAAATGACCTCGAGTGGAAGGTAAGGCAAGGTTAGGTTAGCCGAACATCCTACATACAACGTAATGTTGTATTTTTAAGCAATAAATAGGAAACTGACTCTGTATCGGGGATTAATTATATACACCCATGACTGCGCACCCCACAGGTAAGTAATTCCCTACTGCGCCGTCGCGAACGAGCTCTCTCGGCATGAGAGATGTCATTGATTTATTTATGCACTTCTGGTGCACTAGACAATACCTAGCTAGGTATAGACCACAGACAGCGCTGCGCCGCGCACCACATCTTAAAGTGCCTAAATAAGGATTAATTGACATAACTAGATGATTCTACTTTGACTTTAGGAATCTGAGTAGGTAGGTACATCTAATGTCAATGTAGAATGATGATTATACCACACTCAACATAAAATTAAAACAAAGGATTGAATGTTTGTCTCCTACTTCACAAGTAGACAGCCGCTGACAAAGGCAAGATTACATACTACACTACAAGTATAAAAAGCAAGTTTGTAATATATACCCATACACCCTCCTACCCTCCACATATTTATTATTGTCTCATATTTTTATCTAGATGTCTGAATAAATAGTTATTTGCTGGTCAAAAAAAGAAACATACCTACCTATATTAGGGTACATATTTACTCCTATTATACAACTAAGTGAAGCTCATCTCTGCTGCCCTGTTACTACAATTTTACTCTGATATAAATTGAGAAATGAATTCTATTATAAGTGTGATGAAGAAATTAATATCAGACCTTCAGACTGACCAATATTCAGAGCTTGTATTTAAGCACAATGTTGTTTGGCAATCTGTTAAACATTTAAGAATGTAACAATTCATACATTTCAGTAACTACTTCACAAAAATGCAGTAATCAGTCGATTGGTAGCATTGTGCAGCTTGAGAGAGACATAAAATTGTCAGGCAAATGTTGTAGTGACACATTTAAAACCTACAATACTAGTCCTTATTGTAGTGCTTAAACCGTGTATAGGACATTGACACCACAATGCTATTAAATTTTATTAAAAAGAAGAATAAATATTATTGTAAAATGTTTCTTGCAACTTTTATATTGCAAGTTGCTGAAACTATTTTCAGGACAGCACACTCACATAAACAGTATAAACTTGATAGAAGTTTGGTTTGAGATCCCATCCCTTATTCTCTCATTATACTGCTCTGGTATAATATTTAGGCCTGGTATAATATTCATAAGTCAAAAAGTGCCAGCTATGTGGTGTCAAAGACGAGACGGCACAACACATCGTAGCGGGGTGCAATAACTGTCTGGAACTTGTCACACCACGAGACAATAACGTGGTACAGTATGTATACTGGAGTCTCCTTAAAAAACACAACATGGAAACCACCAATGGACGGTGGACGGAACAGCTCAAATTATCCAAAAGTTAAAGAAAATGATACAGGCAATATAATGTGGAAGATTCCAATTCACACAGACAATACACAGTTACACATAATAGATCAGATATTATTTATATAAATAAAATAACACGGATAATAAATCATGTTTAGTAGACATAACAGAACCATCAGATTACAACATAAGAGTAAAGAAATAGATAAATTAAGTAAATTCCATCTACATATTACCATAACCAACAACCAGCTGGTCATACAACCACTATCTTGGGTTTGGGAAATACTATCTATGAAGACAGGGAACGCGATCCTCCTCTTCCTTGAGGGGTCTTAGGGCGGTAGGATTGCGAAATATCGACTCTGACAAGTTGAGATGTAAGGCGTTACACTAAATTTAGTAAACCAATATCAGTGTGACACCCGAATAACTTACATAACTAAATCCTAAAACACACAGATACACTATGTTTATATAACATATTTAGGATATGTCTAAACTAGCCCAAAAACGCACCTTGTGTGCATTTTTCTAAAATAAAATTAGCCTTATGTTACTTCTTAGTACATTAGCTACCTGTCAGTAAAAGTCCCGTCAAAATCGGTCCAGCAATTTCAGAGACTAGCCAGTGCAAACAGACAATCAGACAAAAATTGTAAAAGGTGTTATTTTGGTGTATGTATTGTATGCATAACATAACATCACGCCTTTTTGTCAAGGGGTAGGCAACAGTGCACACTACGGCACTTAACTCGTCGAGTACCGTATTTATAGCCACTATTAAAGAACAATAGGTTGTGGTCACCGGTGACTGCTTGGTGTTTGACAGTTTAATGCCACTGTACAATGTAACACCCACTTTCCACTATTTATGTTATGAGTCCCATGTAATAGGGGGTGAGCCTATTGCCATATACCGGGCACAATTCCAGACTCCGTGCTGCTATTGAATTTTTATAAAAACTCAGTAACATTTTGCTCGACCTGGGAATCGAAACCGAGACCCCTTGACTGGCAGACGCACTTGCGACCACACGGCCAACGAGGCGGGCATGTATTGTATGCATGTAGTAAAAAGTGGTTATTTCAATATTACAAACAGACACTCCACTTTTGTTTATCTAGGTATGGATAAATACCCAACAATAGCTGGGTATTATTCTTATGTACTTAAACACCTATTGCTTTTAGTTAATTTTAGTTTCAAAATCAGATTTTTTAAATGTGTTTTATTTTAATTTTGAATTACATTATTACAGTGAGGAGAAGAACGCAATAATAGACAATTGATATGTGTCTGTCCATGTTAACTTCCTATATAACTGTCCATTAGTTAACTCTTAAACATTTATATGATTTGCTTTGGATTGTTGAGTCAGATAGTGAAAATTACTTTACTTACGTTTCTGTGTCATGTAGCATACTGTTACAAAGGTAACTGAAGAAGACTGTAGTAATTTTTAAAAGAAACCATGTACATAATGTATTTAAATTTAAAATCTAATATATAAAATTCTCGACCGCCTCGTCGTTGGCAGAGTGGTCGCAAGTGCGACTGCCGGGCAAGGGGTCTCTGGTTCGATTCCCGGGTCGGGCAAAGTATAGCTGGGTTTTAAAAAAAATCTCAGTCGGTTTCTGGAAATGTGGTCGGTATAATATGGCCATAAGTACACCCCCTGTTACATGGGACTCATAACATAAATAGTGAAAAGTGGGCGTTACTTCTGTGTGCACCTTTGCCTACCCCTTCGGGAATAAAAGGCGTGATGTTGTGTTAATCTGAGCGCCTACTGGTTCGAATGAAATAATTTTTGTATTGTAATGTATTGTATTGATAGTCCAAGACACCACGCGAGCGTACGGCGCGTCGCGTTCCGCGCGCACCACAAAGAGCCATCAGACCATCACGGATGGGGCCCAATAGGGCTGATGCCGATTCGGAGTCGCGGAGAACCTAATGGGTTACCAGGGCTCCGGCTCGAAGTGCAGGAGTAGGAACGGGGTGGTTTTTAGTCAGTAAGAGTCTGATACTCCCTCCCGCCTCACCCAGGCTGGAGAAGTCATTCGATGATTTACCCCCTTAAAAAAAGGCACCACGCTACTATATATATAGGAAACATCACGCTACGATCAATAGGAGCTGAGTAGAGCGGGTGAAACCGCACGGAAGTAGCTAGAGCTAGTACCCACATTACTTTACTTATATATGTATTTGTTAATACTAATTTACTTTGTACATCATTCAATAAATGAGATATAAAAAGGCAGAGATATTTGATATCGAGGCCCGCAGGAGTTAGTACGCTACCTTACATGTAGGCAGGTCATTAATAAATCGAAGAGTGAGTCTGTCAATATTGCGATATTGCGTCTAGTTACCCAATGTACGGTTGCGGGGTAGTTTGGGAGGCTGGCCCCAGCTCCGCGCTAAGTACATACCTAGACCTAGGTATCTAGCAGGCGGGCGCATGAATCAATATTGGCAGCGCGGCCTCGCTCCCCGCCCTCGCCCTCCGCCACCCGACCGGCGCAGGCCAGGCGCAGGGCGCTCCTACCCCATCGTTGTATGTATGTCGTGGCTCTACTTATTATTAGCACTTTCAGTGGTGAATAGCCTTAAGTACGTGTTAAAACTATCAACATATGTAATTAAAACTATCAATTTAGAGAAACTAAGTACAATGTGCCATTTTAGTAAAAACTTGACGTAATTCGTAGCAGATCTTTTCTAAGTTACAGCGTTATATAGAGGGTTGGGTGAAAAGATTCCGGCCTGATATTGAAAATTTTAATTCTTAATTCGCTTTATTATTCGACGTTATCTCCATCGAGGCATACATTTTTAATAACGATGTTTTAATACAGATATGCCATTTTAAAACCCGATTCAGTAATTCCCTTAAAATACTCACTTTCGGATGAAGTAAGTCATTAAGTCATCTATAGATAACTTCCGTATTGCTGTTAATTTTTTTACCGCCAAGCCATTTTTTGAGCTTAGGGAACAGATGATAGTCGCTCGGGGCTAAACCTGGTGAATACAGTACTGGGGGAACAATTCACACCTCAATTTGTTGATTTTTGCCATCGCAACGATCGACGAATGAGTTGGTGCATTGTTACATTATTTTTTTCTTCGTCAAGTGAGATGTGGAGTTTGTTTTCCACTTCCTCCTTCAAACGTTCCAATAACTCTGCGTAGTATCGACGATTGATGGTTTTGCCTTTCTCAAAATAATCAATGAAAATTATTCCTTCCGCATCGCAATACACAGTCGCCATGACCTTGTTGGCCGATACAATTGTTTTCGCCTCCTTTGGGGTTGGTTCACCTGGCCCAATCCATTGTTTTGACTGTTGTTTACTTTCAGGAGTGTAGTTGGCAATTCAAGTTTCATCCACAGTTATAAATCGATTTATAATCGAATCAAGATTTCATTTGGATATCGCTTGTAGTGCGCCAAATTGTCAATTGAAACAGTTCGGGTCAATTTTTGATCGACCGTTAGCAAAAGCGGCATCAACCTAGCACAGAGCTTCTCCATGCTCAAAGTTGATGTAAAATATTGCGCACACGTGCAGTTGTTATCCTAGTAGTCTCCTCCACAACCATTTTATGAACTTATTCCATCATTACGGAAATCGTAACTTCAACGGGACGTCCTGAACGTGGTTCATTAGAAGTGCTCGTTCAACTCTTCTTAAATTCAGAAACCCAGAAAGTGTGGAATTCAGCTCTTCTTTGATTTGAATTGGTGTTAAACCTTATAAATAGAAATAAGAGAGAAGATTATTCCATTTTTATATAAGCAGTCGAGGTGCCTTGTTCAATTGGCTCTCAAAAATAACAACTCAATTTACCTGAAAATATACTATACACAAGCTAGTGAGAAACAGCACTATAGAATACAATCCAACAATTTCACCTACTAACGCTATTTCTAAGTTAGGCCGGAACCTTTTCACTATGATGGTTGCAACAAGTACCTATAATTGTGCAAACATATACATATATTTCACTACCATGCAGTTTCTATCATCTTACTATCTGATTTCAAGCTGTGCATTGTATTCGCCGAACGTATGGACAGAAGCAAAGAAGTAGTTATCGTGTTTGTTTGAATAAATATTTTCTTATCTTTCTTTCGGTTATTCTAAATGTTGATGTGATAGCCCAAGTTACAAGTAATGCAGAATGGCGTCAGGTGTTATTTATATTGAATGTTGATTGGTTGTTACAGAGCTGTGCAAGACTTGGTGGCACGTATCATCGACCAGCTCGGGGAGGAGTCCGCCGCAGCACAGGGCCTTAACAAAGTCATCACGAGTTCGGAAAAATTACGCAAAAATCCCGGCCATATTGTGTATCTACTTAAAGACCATCGAGGCAAGGAGTAAGTATAAATAAGTTTTGTGCTAATCGAATTGGAAGGAAGTTAGCGTTACAGTGTAGCGTGTACATTACGGGCCGAGTGCGCTGTGTCGCTGTGTCTCTGTCTGTGTCTGCAGACGGCTGGTGTCTACATTGCTGCTGCGCAAACGCACTAATGTCGCCGCTGCGATTTCTAGTTTAAGACCATTTACATTGATTTAGCGTAATATGTTGTCATTACGTTATGTTATTATATGCAATAACAAGTAAGCTCGTAGCAAATATCCAGCTTTCGCGAAATTAGTCACATTTAATTTCTCCAAGAAGTGACGACCGTTAAAACGCTAATAGTGCGCAGTATATGCTTTCTCTTGGCAATGAGTGTAATAACGCGCCTGCAACGTTATACATTTCAACAACATTCTGTCACCAGTGGGCAGACAGTCGCTACGACTTGCGTCCTACATCTTATGGCTTATGTTCAATTCTTTACCAAACAGTAATAAAATGACTTCAGTTCAATCTCTAGTGACTGTCCTCGAGTAATATTTATTAACTACGCTGTGCTTGCGATTTCGTCTGAAGTCTATACCTCTAGAATCCATGCAGTTCTTTTTCATTTAGTCCGACCAGATAAACAGATAAAACTTCTAAAACTATTTTTTGCTTCAATATCGATTGTAGATCACGCCCACGCCTCAAGTATTATTTAAAAAAAAAATATTTAGGTAGTGTGCAATTTTGACTTCTCACGATTCTATTATAGACAAACAAACAAAAAATTAAATCTTTTTATAATATTAGTGTAGATGTATAAATGAAAATGAAATTATGAGTATAACAAGCTGGTCAGCCTGTCCCGTAGGTTGACGCTGTATGTTAATTATGTATGTGGGATCCCCACTCTCTACTACTAGGAAAGGAAGCTGCATCGCATTTAATACCCTGTAGTTGCCTATGTCTTAGTTAGTACAACAGTCAACACAGCGTGTAATACGTCTTATGGTCAATTATGTAGGTATATTCAGTTCCGTGCTGCTGTGAACAGGCGAAGCTCGCGCGTCTGACTGGTGCTGCTTCGTTGTTACTCAAGAATTTCTCTTTGAATGAACGGGGAGATGTCTGTCGCTCCTCCATAGTTCGTAGTAGCGGCGGCGTCAGAACATTCCGTTCTGCATGGTCGGGCCGCACGGCGCTGCCTGCCCGCCGCCCGGCGAGCGCGGTGACGTTTACATTTATGTACAAGCGGATACAATAAGCGTGCTGCCGCGCTGCGTGTGTATGTAGCATTGTAGCCTATGTACACGTCTGAGGGTTAACTTACTTAGGGTTGGCACACATGGTCCTACATTTTGACAATGCGAGTCATGGTTCTATATTTGCAACATGTTGCCATAAAGATGTTTTCGTGGTTTATATTAAAATAAAAGAATATATACAATAACTGCAAGGTCACACATTCTAAATTGAGAAGTATTGAAGATATTCTCTACTACATAGCTTCAAGTCGTTGCGGTATGAAAGTTGTTGTGTCGGGAACAGTATGCTATGGACTACGGTGGTAGTAGACATGTAAAAAGAATGGGTGAAAGTAGGATTATTATGAAAGTTATTCAATATTAGGATAAGGTCGGTAGGAGAGTCGCCCTACGGAAACATGTGCAGCTTGAACTGCTTGACTCATGAAATGCTTATAAAATTATGTTTAGTTTAATATTGGCAGAGTTGCAGTGTTTTGACGCACGTCACGTCACGACACACATCTTTGATGGCGCACAACATAAAAGATAGCCTCCTTTGTATTTCGCGTATTTGTGAAATCAGTATTATCAGGAGTCGGGCTGGCTCCTGATAATACGGTTTTGTAACGGTCCAAAGGGTAAAATCGGCAACCATATTAAATTTACTAAGACTTCGCATATCATCTTCCTGTCCGTCTGTCTGTCACCAGTCTGTATCTCATAAACCGAGATAACTAGACAGTTGAGAGGATAGATGATGTATTTGTCTTCCCGCTTTTACATTACCGCACACTAGGGGCTTCTCCTGTGTGGGTACTGTGTACTGTGTACTGTGTACGTACAACAAAATAAAATATTTTGGGGGTTCCATAAAGATTGATTTTAATGCGGTTTATTGCTCGAATGAATAAGTGAAGGAATGGTACGGACTCTATGATAAGAAACTGCTGACGCTTGTGTTCGTTTAAATATTTATGTAAATGCGAATGTGTTTGATAAATTATATTGTCTGTCTTAATTATTTATATGATTACATATTTTTGCAGGGGCAAAGGCGAGATAATCGGCCTGTTGAAGGTGGGCCGCAAGCACCTGTTCCTGTTCGACAGCAAGGAGGTGGTGCACGAGGTGGAGCCGCTGTGCGTGCTCGACTTCTACGTGGTGCGCGACCGCCAGCGCATGGGCTTCGGCCGCATGCTCTTCGATTACATGCTCCATGTGAGTCCATGGTAGTCCACCAGTAGTCATCAGTACTGGCACAGCGGTACCATACTTCCCGACCACTCAAATTGTACCTTTTGAAATCTAAGAGACGATAGCCTTATACAAATTTTAGTTCAATTATTTAATGGCATTGCCCTTATTTTTACTTACTGAAATAGTGATTTATTACCACCTTCGTAGTAACTTACCTAATATACAAACAGTGGGAATGTGCTCAACTGGGAATATTATGTCTTATCGAAGTATTTTTTAAAAATTTGTCATTTTCTGAAAATAAAAGCTTAATGCAGTCGCTAATGTTAGATGAGATCCGTTCCTAGCCGTGTGGCTCACCCGCGCTCGTACTCGTAAGGTATACATCTGTAATGACGTCACTGCTCTAATTACGTTCATGTTGCACAGCTAAGCATCGACCTTGTTCCCAGGAGCTGGAGGTCATGGCGTGGCAGATGGCCATTGATGGTCCTTCTGAAAAAATGGAGAAATTCCTTTCTAGGAACTTTGGCATAGAAAAGCTGATAAGGCAAAATAACAACTTTGCTGTGGCGCCAAACTTCTTTGATAGATCCGACGAAGAGATCAGGTAAGCACGACGCGTCTCGCCATTGTCTGACAGACTGGATGCTGCTTTGAATGTTATCTTCCATCAGCTATTTCAGTCGTTCATTGAGCCGTACGATTCTATTAGTAACTCTTGGTTCCGTTCCACGACAGATGCTGGAAACTAACAAGAAATGTATTAAGCTAAAAGCACAGGTCAGTGCGTTTCTTCCCTTTTACCATTCAACAATAATACAAAGGCTGAAGGTAATTGTGAGCGCGCGCTAGCAGGCAGTGGTAGCCCGCGGCATTCTAGCGCGTGGTGTAGCCCACTGCGAGCGCTCAGTGATGTACAGCAGGCAGTACCCGTACCATTGTTAGCTCGGACCCTGCATCCCGGTCACAGATTCGGTCTGTTGGCATGTGTACGGACTATGCGAAGAATGCTATCTCTGGCCTCCCTATTATTTTACAAAAGAGACACTTAATCTATGCAAATATAAAAAGTTAGCATTTTTAAAAATAACATAACAAACAACAGAAAACAAAATCGGAGATAAAACTCAAGACAAAACAACATAAAATCAAGTCAAACAAAGTTAGGTCTAATAACGTTAAAATGAGAAGGTAATAATTGACTAAAACTTATTAATAGAAAATGACTTCTCTAGTGTTTCGGGTGTCCACGGGCGGCGCTGATCGCTTACCGTCAGTGATCCGACTGCTCGTTTGTTCTTATTCCATAAAAAGTATATAAAAAAATCTGAAATTAAGATTAAAATGATAAATAATTAAAATAAATGTCCCTGGCCTAGTTTACATGTTTAACAAGAAGCTGGATATAGGAAGATACACAATATGTAAATGGCGCAGTATATTACGGTAATTAGTAGGACGACGGGTAGGCGTCACGAAGCTATCGGTGGCTCCACTCTGTAGTGCTGGTACATCATTTTCACTGAGGTTGTAGTTAGTTGCCCGAGCGGCAGGATGTACGTCACATTGTGTTTGTATAGAGCGAGGCAGTAAGCGAACATCGTTAGCAATGGCTGTCAGTACTGTTTGTCTGGCTGCTCGCGCTTACTTCGCCCCGTATAGCTGATAAATCGTTGCCTTTCCGTAATAGCAACTCGGGTGGCGGTCCGTCGGCTGTCCCGACCGCCGCTGTCGGACGCTTCGCCGCCCCAAAACCAGCTTCAGCGATCGCTAACGTAAGTACTCAACAATCGGTCAATCACAATACATTATTTTCTCGTTTAACGTAACATATACTGTGTTGCAGTCGAAATGGGTAATTTCCAAATCATACCTCTGGTTTAACTGTTTAAGAATTAATGTTGAGAACAAAGAAGTAGGCAGCCTAGCAACGTCGTATTCAGTGTACGTACAGTTGTGGTCCGGCGCATAGGTTCCAAGAAGTAAGCGTGGGGTCACGGCTCGTGTAGTAACGTGCGCTGCGTCGTGTTGCAGGTCATTCACGGCGCCGGCCACGAGCACGCAGCGCGTCGGTAAGCGTCCTCTCACGTTCACTACTGCTTTACTGTGAACACTTCCTCAAAAGCAATCTAGTCCTCGTAATCATGATACACACCCCTCACAGTGCTCGCTCTGGCTTTAGTTGGTAGTTCCGTTGCACTCACTTCGCCCAACGTGTGTATTGGCACTTCACCTTCACAGATTCGTTGATTGGATGCTAGATTGTAAACAAGGAAAATCAGGACATGACAGAACATTTCACAATCGCAGGATAATGTCGTGGTGTTGTGTACAGCGGCGGTGTACAGTTGTTTGAAAGTATTTTGACTAATTTTATTGATTATAATTGAATCATCATCGATCATTACAGTCTTCATCTGCATTCATTATATTAGTACCAATCAAAAAAGCGAACGCGTGGTACTTCCCTGTAAATATTGACTTTATTATATTAGGATCGCGTTATAACTGGCGCATAAAACGCAGAGGCGATACTTGTACCAGGCGCCAGTTGTTCCCATCATCGATTGCAATAATATAACTTATATAAATAAATATTTCTGCAATTAACTTGAGCGTCTTCTGAATAACTGCATGCCATTAGTTATCGCGCTCATGATATGATCCTCGTGGACGCGGTGCCCACAGCGAGCCGTTGCTTCATTAACTCCTCTAGTATTAGCAAACACTAGCAGGTTTGGTCAGGTAGCTATTATCTTTCTGCTTTTATTTCTTTTCCTACCACGACAATATGTGCAACATGCACAACACAGTAGCTAGTCCTATACAATAGGGATTTCGTTACATCATTGTTAGGTATCAATTTTTCAGTATTTTACAATGAAATGTATATTCATCAATCCATTATATATTTGCTTATGCAATACATCAAAACAAAGACCTTACCATTTTGCGTGTTTTTTTTCTGTTTTGGTGACTGAAAGGACCAAACTAGTTGAAATACTTTTGAACGTTATATACATACATCATCTATCTGTTTCCGTTCACTGCTGGACACAGGTGGTACGCCATTAACACGCCAATTGCTCTAACACGATTAGCAAAACGTTACGTAAATGATCACTCAAACTTTTTGCTAAATAAGCTAATCGATCGTTACAATTTTATTCTCGAGGACTATATTCCTTTTGATGTGTATGTGTATCAGTTATTTTATAATAATTATTCTGCATGACATTTTATTTCTTATGTTTTTTTTATGTTTATTTTGCGTTACCGTTGCTTGCAGTTATGCGCGCACGCGTCGCGCGATGAACACAAACTGACGGTGCCCGCCACCCGGCCACCACTACCGCTCACTTACTTAGGCCAAACGTGCATGTCGACCGCGCGACACGCCCGGCGCGGCGCGCGGCGCGCGGCGCGCGACGCACGACGCGACGCGATCGAGCCACACACAGCATACACTACTCACACACTCGCACTCACTAACACACTGCCAGCGCGTGTGGTCGGTGGTGAGTGCGTCGCACTGCACACTGCACACACGGCCGCTAGCTGAGCCGCTTCACTGGGCGGCTTAGCTTAGTTAGCGACCAGCTCGATGGTTCTCGATGAGACCCATATTATAATATCATGGTTGTGCTACTTCGACGAAGACTTTGAATTACGTTCGTTTAAATTGCGTATAGATACATAGGATAAATTAATAATAAAATCTACTTAACACCATGGTACAATAAAATAAGGTACAATAAAACTCGTGGACACAGTCACGTGAGTGTTACAAGCCTACGTCATCATCGGAATCGATGGTTGTCTTTATTGTTTGGGTAAACTCAATCTCATAGAAAATTCCCTTTTATAATAGACTAGACAAACTTTATAGTAGACGTCCACAAATAAATGTGTGAGAATCACAGGCACACTGGCACTGAGCGAGACAGACTTCGACAGCGTCAAACAACATTAGGGATACTTGACATATTGGCGGAATGTCAATGAGACAACCCGATTCTGTATTACCAATAGTGTGTAATAATAACTCCCCAAAAACCTCTAATTCCCTGTGCAAATACAATAAAACAATATTAAAAATGTTATTAGTCCGTCAGGTAAAAAAAATTTAGAAAAGAATTTTTTTATTTGGTTGAATGATAAAATTATACTTAGATATAACGAATCTCAGTTTAGGAGTGGGGGCTAAAACGTCACTTATTCATATATAATGTACATAGAAGTGACGTCACGCGACATTTCGAATCAATATAGCTTCGAAACTATTCGTAACCGTAAAAAAATAAAAAATACGTGTCTAATGTTTTAAAATAATCTACCAGACGGACATTACAATAAAATTAGTCATCTACCCTATTGCTACAGATATTTAATAAAACAGAATACTGACTCAAAATGTTTCTGTATTTTGTTGTTTTGTTGCAATAAAGTGGCAACTGGATAATGTAATGACGTAGGCATGTGTCACTCCCGGCATGTGAGACCTTGTTTTTAGACCATGCTGAACACCATTTTGGACGTCCTTCTAAAGTCCCAACTACACGGATATTGCTGTATGTACAACGCACAACACGAATTATATAATGAACAATATACTTAAATGTACCTAAATTAGAAAGTCGTCCTCGTCGTACATTTAGGAGTCCCATAACTTAGGTGTTTGTATAGATCGGTCAGAGTACCATTAGTCTGTTGCCGCGCTGCTGTGACGTCACAACATGCATCACGGCTCGCTCATTCTATCACATGCTGCCTCTCCCTAACGGGGTTACCAGTTTTCAAAATTACTTCAAAATTATCTTCTATTTCTCAGAATGTTGTAAAACATTAAACTCCTATTCTCTTCTGATCTATACAGAACATGGTATTGCGTGTGCAAGATATACCTACATACAGCCAGCACTACTACAAAGCACCTACCGACTACAAAAATTACAATTTGCCATCGTTATGACGACTTTCCCAACAATTTCAGGGTTCAGCTCTTTCACTCTTTCTACGTAGCGTAGTTCCATTGCGTAAAAATGCCTGAAGCCTTCTTTTCCGTTCCTGGACTAGACTCATCGGTCTAAAGTATAACTGTATGTAAAGTCGGCATAGATACACACACCAAGGCGCAGCAGGTCGTGTGCTTCCCGTATGTATACTGTGTACCTGTGCAGGCACTCGCTCCGCGTCAAGCTGCTATTGCCCGACGGCCGGCGGCCGGCAGATTCAATGACTTGTTTAAGTAGTTTGTTTTATTTATTTTGATATTGCTATATTGTTCAAGTTTGTAATACATCTGATATTAGCAGAAAGGACACCGCGTCCTCTTACTGTCAAGTGGACACATTGGATCCTCGCATGGTAGGAACACATGTATGAATCCTCCCAGAACGGCAGGTACGTGGGGGAGTGCGTGCCCCTGGATGAAGTTACGACTGCAGTGACCTAGTGCTGCTGAGGATAGTTGCTTGTCCTTCCAACGTTGTTAATATCAGTTCACGGCTCGCACACCTCGTACCTCTAGATGGAAACCACCGAGAGACATCGTCTGTGACTGTTGGCTTTAAGGGCGCGCGGCACTCGTTCTGCTTCTATTCCACATTTTATACTTTCCATGTTAACTCTCTTACGTTCAGTATTTTTAATTAATAAATTATAACTTCGATAAATTTGTTTAGCATTTAATTTATTGATAAAATAAACGATTAATATAAATTCAAATTATACGTTTTATTCCTGAAAAGGCGTACAGATGTGCACATCTTGATATTAATTGTCACCAGCTGTTTTATGATGAGTCCAAGTCATTAAGGGCGAGCTTGTTACTATTGTTTCGGAAATCGAAATGCTCTATAATATTAGTCCTGCGACTGGGACTTGTATTATATTATATCTAATTTTAGTGAAGTCGGCTCGGTGCTCGGCACGAGGCTGGCTGAAACTAGCTCTAATACAACTTGGGCATGCTTCAGTTTGTGTCTGCAAGGGCTTCAGACAAGAACTCATTGACTTGTCACTAATGTACTCGTATAGGAGCGTGTTCCAAGCTCCTTGCGAATTACCGTACTTACAACTCGTGCGTCGTCTCAAGTAGAACGTATCTTGTACGCCAACCTAAAGTGTTACAGAACCTTTATTGGACTTCAGCCGACACAAATCAATACATACATTTTAAAATTATAGGGCTTGTAGGATCCACTGACTTCGTGTTGATCATACATAATTTGCATAAGGCGAGAGCATCCGCGATCCGCGACGAATGATGCATCAGTCGTATGCCCCGTCGGGCGGCGGGAACATCGAGGTCCGATATTCCTGGACGATAATATAGTCGTGTGTGCTCAATGACGCAGCTTTATTTTATTAGTATTTGTGAACTACAGTAGTTACGTGAGTAGTCACTGTTAGACCGCATCGCATGCTGTATGTTGTTGCTTGTCTCGATGTCTATTTATGTTCTTATAATGGTGGAAGCAGCGACCGTGGTGCACCAGTCTCTAACTGGAATAAACATAACCGAAGATCAAGACCAACCTAACAATACAAGGCACAGCAGTGATGGCCGACAACAAATCTTTAGTTGTGCAAGTTTTGAGAAATTTGTTATCCCATAACATCTGAGTCATTTTGACATAATCTCAGCAGCATCTCTGCACACGATATAATGTGATCTAAGTAGTATATAATCCAATTGACCATTTAACCTTGAGAAGCGATAGTGCATAGGTACATAATGTAAAGATTTTTCAATTTTTAGTCGTATTTCAATTTCAGGTGATCAATGAAAAACTATCGTGAGGATTTATTATATGTGCAGTGTAAAAGTAATACTTGCCTGCCTGGGTAATACAACAAGTGAAATACCATACTGCTTGAATGAGTTGTGTGAACTCACGCGTAGTGTTATGTACATACTGGCCGGTTGTTGCGACAGGCAACAACTCTAACCAGGCAGCTGTGTTGTGCATTCTGTAGATGCAACTTCGTGTACCTACCCGGGTAACTATACACAGGTACATATTAAGAGAGTGATGTCCACCACGACACGTGAGCGTGCAATATCCACGTTGTCTGCTATCCTGTACCCCGCGACGTAGCTACTAGCGATCTAATGTTAAATGTGGACATTCGTATTTTCCATAGAATTTCTTTGATACTCGGTAGTAGCACAAGAGACCCGGATATCATTAGATCGCCGGTACTCCGGGCTCGGGATGTAGCTGCACATGTAGGTATGTAATTAGCTGTTCTGCATGTTGTCGTTATTTGTCTATCGCCGGCCATGCTAGGCGGCGCCACTAGTAGGAGCTCCGATCCGATGCAGTCTCGGAGCCTCGTCACATTACTCTTTATAGCACCCAAATGCCTGAGGCCTTAGTACGAGTTTGTATGAGTAGCAGTCAGAGCGCCGGCCGCCGGGCGCGGTCTCGCTTCCATTACTTTTAACGTAAAACAAACTCGTACTACATTTCATTTAATACCTACTTTTTATACATACAGGGTGATTTGTAATTGGACCACAATCTGGTATGGGGTTATAGAACAGCTCGATTCCAACATATTCGTCGAACAAAGGGATAGGTGAAAATGAACGGTAATTAAAATATTTAACTTTTAGTGCTAATTTCAAAATGACAAATATGCTTCTTTATCATAAAGATTTGCTATGACGCATGTTCTAAACTATAAGGTCAGTCTATAAGGTCGGAACGACGTCCAAATTCATTCATAATATTTTAGAAAACGTACCAAGTTCATTTTATTTGGGTAAAAGGAGTGAGATTTTAAAATGTAAACTTGTAAGATGAACAGTAATATTTTATTACCTTAGTCCATTGTTAGTCTAATATCTTTGACATTAGTCCAGGTAATGTAAAATTGTCTACCTCATATGAAAGCTTATGAGACGTAGGTGTTTGTTGTAAATGTATGTTGTAAAAAGTGCACAACAAGAATGAATATAATGAAAATATGAATTGTGTATTTGATGATTAGAACTAGTAAATAATGTACTAAACGAAGAGCGCATATCATTTTTGTTTTTTTCAGTTTTAGAGTTACCGTAAATGTCATTTTGAAATGAACACTAAAAGTTAAATATTTTAGTAACTGTTCAACTCCGCCTATCCTTTTGTTTGACAAAAATGTTGGAATTGATCTGTTCTAGAACCCCATACGAGATTATGGTTTAATTACAAACTAGCCTGTATATTATATAGGTACTGGATAGTATGACGTTTGGCTACCATCTCCCTGGTGGTAAGCGATGATGTGGCCCACGATGGAGCACGCCTCCCTATGAGCTACCTGTTCACTCGGAACTTGAAGTTATGATTGTCGGGAAACACAGAAGCCGGCAAACAATTCCATTCCTTAGCGGGTCTGTCTGGAATGTCCACCACGTAAGGGTGGCGCCCTGCGTTTCGTCTGGTAGTACGATGGTAAAACAGACTAACGGGAATAAGGTTGTGCAATCCCCACGCACACTCCTCGTTAGTTAGTTTATATTAAGTTCCGTAGTAAACTTGATTACACTGGTTCTAATGGAGTGTAGTAATGTTATCAATCTGCTTGTGTGAAGTTATGATGAAAGAGTGCCACTTTCCAAAAGTTGGTGAGCATTTTTTACAAGTATTTTTGCTGAATGTCTCATCACAGCTCGGAGTCTCCACCCGCCGCTGAAGCTGAAGCTCCTGAGGCGAGCGCAGCGGTCGCAAATGAAGGCCAACCTATCCGCTACTACCCTGAGGAGATGTGGGACGACGACGATTGGGAAGAGCCATCGGAGCCGGAATATGATGCCGATGCATATGAATTTGACCCCGACCAGCCGCCCGCCGAGCGGCAGGACGAGATTCGTGCTCGCGGCCCCATCCGCTACAGCCCCGTGCAGGTGGAGCGGCCCGGCTCGCTGGACGTGCAGCAGGCGGCCGCTCTGCCCGCCCCCGCTGCGCCCCCAGCCCAGCTGCCCGCCGCCGGCCTGCCGTCCGCCGGCGCGTCTGCTGCAGGCACGCCCGCGGCCGGTGCCAGTCGCAGGGACTCCCAGCTGACCGATAAAGGCTATTTCGACGTTAAATATTATCATAACAAACTTTGGTAAACATGACAAGATAGATACAACAACCTCTCTCCCCTATTCTTCTGATTTGTTCACAAATCCAAAAACAAAGGGGTAAGGGATGTATAACGGGAATGTTAAGGGAAATTGGCAAAAACGAATAAAAATCACATATTTACCAATCAAAACTAATCACAACACTTAGATTACAAATTAAGTTATTGTCACTTGGCATCGAATTTGGTAAAGACGAATCAAAAAACGTATTTTCATTTTCTTATACCCCTTCCTAACTCAGCGCGAGTTACAGTATTTCAAGTTACAGAAGAAGAGATAAGAAAATTAATAAGTACTTTATTGTAAAAAAGATAAACGTGTGGCTCTAAGCGCAGGTTACTGTTTCACAAGACATATGCAAAATGGTCGCTTATTAGCGAAAAGAATAAGCGCGTAGTGCGCATAGTTAGTTGTATCGCTTGCCCCGTTGTGGCTCGTGACCCCTTCCCTTAATGTTGTACGTCGTGTTGATGTCGTGTCGTTGTCGTACCTCGGTGTTTAAGTCTGGGAGTGACACCAGCGGTAGCGGCGACAGGTGCAGTCGCCTTGTACCCAGCGGAACGCGACGCCTGCACCGGCTGCATGGTTGCACTGTCTAATAATACTTATTATTATCCGTCAGTGTCTATTTATTTAACATTGATTTTATGCATATTTATTATCTATTGATTAGGATGTCCGTATGATGAACTGTTTAAACAATAATTACTTCTTCAAATGCTTTTTCATCAATTTTTATATTGAATAAGTAGGTACAATGTATTCATTGGGACCGAACTTTAATTCACTACACGTCGCTATCGCGAATATGTATAAATGAAACATCTGATAAATATTAGAGGAACACAAGAACAGCGTAACTAACTTGCGACGCATGTATAGCTTGAAGCTAATATGGGATGAAAAACATCCAAATTTGGCATAAACAAAAAAAATGAATGATCAGCCTGAGTACATACTGTACTAGGCATGAACTAGGCCTACATTTTGTGCCATCGACAATGTATATAAATCTTGTATGGAACAAAACACATTATGTGATAAATATTTAAGAGTAATGATATAATGATAACCTTCGGAACTTAGAGTACCGATTACTATTGATTGTCTAATAAATGAAATAATGAGTCAGCCCGAGCAGTATCGAGGATCGTGGCCGTGGCTCATTGCGAGTGGTTGCACCTGCTGCAGGTACAGACTTTATAATTTGCATGAGGCCGCGCGTCGCCTGGCAGCCTGGCGACGCGCATTTTGTGTTGCACGACATAATAAGTCTTATTTAACGGTGACGTCACGTGGGTCCCCCCGGCCCAGTGTAAGGCAACATTCCAGTGTTGTAATTAATTTAATTATGTGTAACTCATTAGATGTATGACTGATATAACCAACATACACAAAAGCATTTAAATTATTCCATAATTTAGTTTTAAGTAATTGCGAGCGCTTCGCGCATTTTCCATAACTATAAGAGATCATGATGACATGTAATAAACTCAATCTCAATAAAGAATATTTAATCCCACTAATGTTTTATTTTCGTTACGACCTGTTAGTAAGGATGAGTACCCAGGTAGCGCAATAGCTTTACTAATTTTGCTTCTTCTAGTTGATACAAAAACATGAATAAATACAAACACGTGTTAAGAGTTCTACCGAGCCCAGATAGCCCAAGCACAAGAGCTCACCATTCTGGAGTAGAGGCACATCCACGCCTGGCGGTAAGCCAGGCGTGTTGTGGGCAGACGGCGTCCCGTCTTGTGTATCGTGTACTTATTGCTCAAGAGTTTGTTTGAACGCGCGCATCTCCGGAACTACTGCTCCGATTTAAATAATTACTTTTTGCATTTATCGCGGAACCGAGCAGAGCGGGTAAAACCGCGCGAAAGAAGCTAGTTTACAATAAATAAACAGTTGCGTGAGTAGCACGATACCTACTATAATAATTCATTAATCAGGCGCAGGTACCTACTGTACGTAGGTACTGTACCTACATACTACGGAGTACTGAGATGTTTCAAAACATTGAAAAGTCCATAACAATTACACCAAGACAATTTTAGTTTAACTTTGAAACGATAGCAATTTCTCAAACTATTATGTTACGAACAAAGGTGGGTATAAATATGAATGTACGGTTACCTAGGTTTATCTTCGAGAAGCAGCTAAAGTTCGATTTTCGTCATTCTATTCCATTTATAGCCGATTAATGTGCACACGTTTCGCTTAGAAACTTCTGAAAATGTATTCGATGCAGGCGCCGGTGGGGAGACAATGCGCGTAAGTACACGACAATGTTTTCAGGTGGACAAAGTTTTCAAAGATGGCGTTGCAAGAAAAAATGTCAAGTCATAATTTAGGGTACTCCGACACATTGGTTAGGTTATGTTGGACCTGTGAGGCTGTGACCGTCACAAGGCGCGAGGCGAGCGAGCGGTGCCAAGGCAGCGGCCGCCGAGCGCAGCGTCAGACAACCGTTTAGGCGTTCACTAAAGCTTTAAATGACGGATGGATTTTTACCGACTTAAAAAAAGGAGGAGGGTTTTGTTGTTTGTTAATCGATTACCTACTTCGCCATTTGCGAACAGATTTCCGAAATCCTTTATTTGTTTGAAAGATTAGGTTTACTCCCAAAAGGATCCCATTTTCACGACGTCAGGATCTGATGATGGAATCCTAGGGAAACTTTCGAAAATTGTAGGGGTGTGTAATGCGTCTATTATGTTTTTCAATAAGGATTATTAAATACTAATACAATATTGTAAGGGCCAGACCCTTACTAGTCGAGCTGGTGAAAAAACTCACAGACAGTCGAAGGAATTCCGCAACGGTTTACAGTAGGTAGGTATTATGTATCGGTGGCTGGGCAACCCGCTGCCGTCCAACGTGTTGCGGGTTCGATTCTCGCACGGAACAACACTTTGCGTGATCCACAAATTGTTGTTTCGGGTCTGGGTGTCATTACACAATGTGAACACTTGTGAATTTGTATGTTTGTAAACACACCCACGACACAGGAGAAAAGGTAACCTTTCACATAACATAATATCACGTCTTTTATCCCCGCAGGGGTAGGCAGAGGTGCACATTACAGCACTTAATGCTACTACAATGTAACATCCACTTTTCACTATTTATGTTGTAAATACCTACTATGTAATAAGGGGTGAGCCTATTGCCATATAGGTCACAATTCCAAACTCCGTGCTACTACTGATAATTTATAAAAAACCCACTACCTAATACTTTGCCCAGTAGACGCACTTGCGACCACTCGGCTAACGAGGACGAATGGAGTTTCTTGCTCGTTCTTCTCCATTCGAATCTTCATTATTCGTGACACCTTAACTTCACTTTTGAATGCCTCCATAGACCTGTTTAGCTTCAAGCCACGTTACCAATTCGAGCCGATTTACAGGTTGGTGCATAATAATCTCATTAATACGAGCACCAATCCTGCGGAGATAGCTCGCCTATTGACTGTGGGTAAGTGGGAATCAGGCGACTTCAGGCACTTCCGTCACTCAATATAGGCACGATGTTGGATGACTCACCTTTTGGGCTTGCTGTTGCGTCTAACAGAAAATCTGCAGAAAACCAAAATAGTATGTAATTATATCTTTGAGCCGTTTGGGGTTGGGACGTTAGGTCCGTGGGGTTCGAGTGCTCAAACAGTTTTCTCGGTCAGAGGTAAAGCATTACCATACAACGTGGCAATGCTGCCAGCCTTCTGGGTACTTTCCCTATTGAGGTCGATGCGGACGAATTTTTCAATGTTCTATGTAAATAGTTATTTTTAGTTTTCTTTTAATAATTTTTTTTTGTATCGTTAGTTGTATAATTATAATTATTTAGTAATTAATTGAATGCATCATTGAATAAAAATGACATTTTGACTTTTAAACATTTTGGAACGAGCACCTAGCTTCACTGACGGACAGAGTGACAGACTATTATTTATTTTGTATTTGTTGACGTTTTACAAGTAGGTACCAAATTATGGTTTAATTGAAATAAATGCTTTGACTTTGAGGTCTGTGTAATAAGTGTCATTAAATATTTATGAATAAAAGTTTTTGTGACTGATTAGTCAATTGTTTCCTTTTCCATTTTTAGCCCAGGGCCTGCTGTTACACTTAAGTTTAGACGGCTAAAGATACAACAAACTTACATTAATACCTTCTCGAAAATAAACCTAAGTTTAGTCGGCTAATCTGAAGTTTACTTTCACACCTACCTTTAGGGCCAAAACACAACGGCGTCGCGGCGCCGCGCCGCTAGAATCGACAGTAGCGTCACTACCGATATAAGCGGCGCAACGCAGCGCTCGTTCCAACATAGCAGAGTAATATCTTCTTAATAACAAATAAGCAATAAGTTTTTCACGATGGTCCATGGCAGAGACACGTCTATCCACAATAAAAAATCACAACGAACTGGTTACCCTACCGAACGACAATAAAACGCTCCTTTTCACGACGCTGCAACGCAAACTGCCGATTTTAGCGTTGCGGCGACGCAACGCGGTTATGTGTTTCGGCCCTTAACCATAACATACATAAATATAATTTGTAGATTAACATATACGTTATTATAATCCCCAAAGAAACTGGAAAGGAGGAGCAAAGGAAATGAATATGATATTGTAAAAAACTCATTATGCACCATTTTTGGATATGGTGATCACTTATTTAGAATTTTTTAGGACCCTTGGAATCAATCAAGACATCGGAGATCAAAATTTTCCCCGAATTATTTGCAATGCCCTGTTCAAAAGAGCATAAAATTCGGGAATCGCAAAATACATCGCAGATGTCATTATTACAAGCATTGTCGGTTAAAAATATCAACTTTGACAAATCGATGGGTGCCCAAGACGAAATCTCTTATGTGCGGAACATCAGAAACAGCTAAGGGCAAATCTCCTGATTATGGGTTGTTCCCTAAGTATGTATCACAATCTCACGAGCATTAGGACTACGCTAAAAACGCGTAAAATGTACTTTGCGGTGCTCTGACGCAACGCTGAATTTTACAAAAAAATTAATTGACATAAATTGTGAGTAATTCAATTTTGTACTTCATGTTTTTCTTCACAGGAAAAACAAAAGTAAAAAATAACTATTATTGGCCATTTTTTATTTAAGGGCGAAAATCGTCGAATGGCTGCTTCCGCCTGGGTGTGGCCGGAGGGAGTGTCACACTCTTACTGACTAAAAACCACCCCGTTCCTTCTCCTGCGCTTCGAGCCGGAGCCCGGTAACCCGTTAGGTTCTCCGATTATTGACCATCGTTGATATTTATAAGTTACACACCCACTCATAGGTTAGAAGTCGGTACCGGTTTTTTTTGACATTAATAATACTTTTTTAAAAAAAAAACGTTACCCCCCACTAGGATTTTCTCCTGTGTCGTGGGTGCGTTTACAAACATACAATATCACATACACATGACGCCCAGACCCGGAACAACAATCTGCGGATCACACAGAGTTGTTCCGTGCGGGAATCGAATCCGCGACACGTTGCGCGGCAGCCAGTTGCTCAGCCACCGCGCCAACCGTGCAGTCAGATATACATAACATCACTTACTTATAGGTTCGAAGGGGTAGGCAGAGGACATTACGGCAAATTATGCCGTTGTACAATGTAACACCTACTTACCACTATTTATGAGTCCCATGTAACAGGGGGTGAGCCTATTGCCATATATCGGGCAAATTTCTGGACCCCGTGCTACTACTGAGCATTTTTTAAAAAAAACCCAATAATACTTTCCCGACCCTTCCGTGGAGCGAACCCGAGACCCCTTGCCGGGCAGTCACACTTGCGACCACTCGGCCAACCAGGCAGTCGACCTAAATGTTAATTGACACTTAATTTATTTTGACAAGAAATCTGAATAAATTTAATTACAATTATTTAATCTCGTTGACATTGTTATTCCAGACATTTTTGTTTATTGTTATTAAATAATTTGATGAAGTTTTTTAATGATGCAGTAATAATTGTCTGCTTTGATCTGGTATTTTGTGTACGACTAAATAATAACTCGTATAGTACAGTTACTATTTTTGTATGATTCCGATTTTATTTTATTTAAAACTTCTCAATATGTTTGTACGTCTCCAGTCTGGCATGACAGATGAGACAGAGACATGACAATAATTACAGTTATTTTGATAGCTTCCGGTATATTACTCCGGTACTAATAATGTGACCAGGTTTGCACCGACGTTGACATTGCACATGTTTAGATGAAACAGTTTCAAAAATTGTTGCATAATTGTGTAATCGTTAGACATGATATCGCGGACTTTTACGTTGGTATCAGGTGTCCAAAGACGAAGAAAAAAAGTCTGACATAATGTCACTTAAATGATTGAAGCTCCAAAATGTCAGAGGTGCAGTGGTGGATTTGTGTGAGCTACACGCACACTTGCACACCGCAATGTATGAAGTGTAATGAAGGGCCATGTCACGCGACAGATGTCCACCGTGTCAATGTGTGTGTAAGTATATAGTAGCCAGATGCTACAGCCGTTGTTTCAAAGACCATGTCCGCTTTTTTCAACGTTCTTCTCAATGTCTATAAACTCCACTGCGTATGCAATGTAAGGACGGTTCAGTAGCTTTTACTTTTAATGTTCATCGGGGATAATGTTGGTAACCAATGATAAAATATTTTTTTCAAATCGGTCCGGTAGTTTCCGAGTTTAATCAATTGAAACAAAAAATCAAATCTTTCCTCTTACAGTCTAGACTAAAATTATAATTAGTCTAGACCAGAGATGGCGAACCATTGGCACGCGTGCCATTGATGGCACGGAACACATTATTCTGGGCACGACAGTGACCTCAACACATACGTAAAGAATATAATAATTGTGATGATACATGCATCGGCAGCGCATTTGTGAGAATTGGGATGATGACGGGGAAATTAAAATCAATTTAGTTCGTAAGTTAGGTAATGAAAAACATTAGACATGTACCTATATTTTTATTTTGTTGTAAAATAAAATAATACTTAGTTATAACGAATCAAAGTTTAGGAGTGGGGGCTAAAACGTCATATTGTAGCTTACCATCAAGCCTGCTGTAAACTTTATTGCTACTGCTTAGTGATAAGTAGAATTAATTTGATGGCTCATTTATGAGCTCAATATATATTTCTTGAAAGTAATTGGCACGTCAATGTGTAAAGGTTCGCCATCCCTGGTCTAGACTGTACAAGTGCAGTCAGATTAGATTGGACATTTTGAGGAATGGAGTGTTAGTGACGCATCATGCAATGCTCGTACTCACGTAGAATAAATAGCATATAAAATAAAATAACTTGTAGTTTTAAAGAAATTATTTAATTTCCATTACAGTTGGACACCTGTTATGTATCTTTGGATTCTATTACTTAACATAGGAGGGAATTAAGAGGGTGCAATCCAGTGAGAGAGCAGAGATACAAACTGCACAAGCTGATACAGTGGCACTATGGCAGGGACTCACGATACGATAACTATGTGGACCGCACCGGCCGCCGCGCTGTACAGGCCCAGGGTGCCGCACAATGTCACACGGAGTGTACCTTAAATACTATAGATAGACAGTGTACGGTGAATGCAATTCGTATTGTTTTTGAAAATGAAATCTTCTTAATAAATTGTCTATCTTCAGTATGGAAGGTAGTCGTGGGACATTCGGCACACTGTAATAACAAACTTGAAGACAAACAAGTGCCGCTCTAGTGAACTAAGCTGTTATCCTATGTAGTACATGAATGGCGTGCATTGGTGTGTTGTATGAGAACACAACGGCCACGAGTATCCCGTACACCGCGCGGTCCCTGTAATCATGTACTGTACAATATAGAACACGTCTCTACGGCGGCGGCTAGCAGCGGTGCGGCGGAGCGCGTCCAGGGGGCGCGTCGAGTTTGTTGTATTATACAAAATTCTTACGATACATTGAGTAGATACTAAAATAGGCTGAAGAATTGTACACATACCTATTGCAGACAACTTACGTACATTTATTTCAATAATAATAAAGACTAGCATAGACATGATACAGTAATGGCGTCGCTAACGTACAACTGTCATCGATCCATTTTTAATCAAATACCTTACAACTTCGATTAATACAAATTATATTAAAGAAAATATTGAGCATAATTATTATTACATTATAAGCCGTATCACAGTACGCTAACTTAAAATACTTCATGTTTGACAATTTATTTGTTCGCACTACATTAATAAAATAATATTTATAATCATAATATGTATATAGAATGGTATATCGAATATAGCGATGGTCCAATGAAGACGCATAACTAAGTATACAATGCAAGTACATCATACCGTATATATAGGCCCAATACAAACGAGTTGAAGACAGTCTTTAAGTGGCGGCCAGACGGTGCGCCACGTTCAAAGGAAATGCATCGATATTGGTCCGAGTAGAACGAGTCTTCTATCGTGTATACTTACTACGTAGTACTATATAACTATTTAAATGCTAAACAGAACAGTATCGAGTGTGTCGCGGGTAGAGGAATGTACGAGCAGTACGAGTACTAACAAGTACTAACATACATTTGGCACTGATGAAGCGGACAACTAGCTGCCACTTCACCTTCTATTCAGTAATAACTTTGACTTACCAAGTATTTATGTTGCTACAAAAACCTACGCGTCGTTTTGAGATCAGTTACATTTATACTGACGATGAGATAGTATCTAAACGTTGAAGACGATGCGGGGGCGCGCGGTACAGTCCGGGGCGGGGGCGGGGGCGGAGCGCGGTGCTCGCTTATCTGTAACAGTACACAGTCTGTTTATATTGTCATGTCCAAGAGTTGGGGTTAAATTCCTTAACATGAGATTAAGACTTGACAGTAATGTCAGAATGATGCGTGTACCTGTGCACGATGTCGGCGAGGTCCTTGAGCGCGCGCTCGACGCCGTCGGCGAGGTGGTGGTTGTGGGGGGCGGGCGAGGCGAGCGCGCGCGCCTCCGCGTCGAGGCGGGCGGCGGCGGCGCGCAGCTGCAGGCGCAGCGCGGGCGAGCAGCGGCGCGCGTCGCCGGCCGCCGCCACCGCGCCGCCCAGCCGCGCCACGCGCTCCGACGTCTGCAGCCGCCACAGCGACCCGCGCCCGCCGCCGCGGCGCACCTACTCAATGCATTCGCTGCCATTTTATACAAGTCTATTTTTTATTTATGGGAAATACTAAACCCTCTAAGTTGTTGCATAATAAACATAGCACAGCACAAGATTGAAGTCACAAGTATTTAGAAGGCAGGTCGTACCTCATTAGTGCACCAGTCGAGAGTGTTGCGCAGCGCGGCCAACAGGTCGGCGTCGTCCGCGTCGTCGGGCGCGGGCTGAAGCGGCGTGGCGTAGATGCCCTGCTTGGAGGGCTTGCCTTTGACGGGCGGCTTGCTCGGCACGGCGGGCTTGTCGTCACGGCGCCGCGCCACCGAGCCGGCCCGCGCCACGCCCACCCCCGCGCCCCCAGCCGCGCCGCGCTCCTCGGGCGAGACGTCGGGTTCGTCAGTCCGCGAGCGCGCCTTAGGACTAAGTCGTTCGTCGGTCTCTTTACTCTCCCACAGCTTCTTGAGGCTACTAATGCTGCCGGTGCTGCGGCGCTTGTCGTCGTCGTCGCCGCCGCTGGTCTCGAGGGAGCCGCTCTCAGTACGCTTGCGCTCCTCGTCGCGTTGATCCTCCGGCGACCGCTCTGGTTTCTTGCTAGTACCGTTGGTAGCAGGCGTGCTACTCTCTACTTTCCGCAGCCGAGATTTAAAATCAATGATTGCGCGTCCAGATTCCTCCACATCTTTGGATGCGGGCAAATTCTTTTTATTTGTCTCAACTTTTTTGAGTTGAGCTTTGAAATCAGTACTATTTTTAATTTCAGTATTCTTCTGATCGACACTGTTATTATACGCAGTTTTTCTGAGACTGGCTTTGAGATCTATCGGTGAGACAGTTTCTTTGGCGTCGTCCTGATGCCGAGAGACGGCATTAGCGGTCTCAGGCTTGCGATCACGGCGCAAGGCGTCCATGTTAAGACTTTCTGACAGTTCGGACACGAGCCGTGTCACAGGGTCGCCGAACGAAGTGTGCATATCGACCAGCTCGTCCGGTGGCGGCGATTCCTTCTGCCGGTGTTTCTTCTTGTCCGCGCGCTCCTTGATTTCCGCGACCAGCTTTAGTTCGAGCATCTCCTTCATATTCTTCTTGGTGAGCTTGTCGTCGTCGCGGTCGGCGGCGAGCGGCGGCGGTAGCGGCAGCGCGTCGTGCCCGCGGTCGCTGGTGTCGGTGCCGGCGTCGCGGCAGCAGTCGGGCGGCGGCGGCGGCGGCGGCGGCTGCGGCTCCTCGGCCGGCGGCGGCAGGTCGGCCGGTGGCGGCGGGAACTCCAGCTCCGCCAGTCGCGGCCGCGGCTTGCCGGGACTGTCCGCGAACGAGCGCAGCGGGGGCGCAGCGCGGGGCGCGCGCGGAGACGCGGGCGCTGGAGCCGTCACGCCGCCCGACGAGTTGGAACGGATCATGTGCGGCTGCGCACGCGCAGTGCGCGGCGATAGTGAGCGCGCCTCGTCACGCGCCGCGCTCGCGCCGCCGCCGCCCGCGGCCGCGCCCCCGCCCACGGACTGGCGCATGGACTCCAGGTAGGCGCCGATGCGCGCGCCCTTGGGTAGCGTGCCGTAGCGATTGATGGCACGCTTTACGTTCTGTACTTCGAGGGCTGCTACCTGGACTCCCTGTTTAAATGTATGATTACAAATATAACAACATTTCTCGACATGTATTATAATACAAAATCAACAAGTTACCTAAATCTCGCTAAATTGTAGTGGCGAGTAATCCTGAATAATAATAATCTATCGGGGCGTGTATCAGGGGACACCCACACAGTAATCATATATGAATGTGTAACTTTGTATCTATCTATCAACGTTCGTGTACCCCTCAAACAAATTAAAAATGTCACTTGCATGAAAATTCAAGTGTTCATGTGTCAATTCAAGTGTTCAATTCAATTCAAAATTCATGTCGTACCGTGCACCCTTACTATCTATCTATCCTTACTACGATATGGTGTAATCGCATGGGGAAATAGTACTGATCAAGACAGAGCATTTATCTCACAAAAACGATGCATACGACCCTTATATGTGATTCCACCAGATGTATCATGTCAGCCGATATTCAAAAAAGCTTGGTTTGCTACCCGTATCCTCATTGTACTTATGTGAAGTGTAAGAGCAGTTTAAAACGGCAGAAATCGTAAACCCAACAGTTGCTCTTCTTGTTTATTGTTTGATAAAAAAATATCAGCTTACATTTCGGAATTTACTGATTTACTTACTTACATATTATTTATTATTAATTAATAACAAATATAGCGCTTGTTTTCGACTCGGCGACAACCGACCGCGCTTACGTTTTGTTTGATGACATACCTACGTATTATGTTTAGATTTTGAATAGGTTGATCAAACTTAATAACTCGATTACAGAATTTAATTTATCCAATTCTTGCTTGACTATGTTAATAAATCACTTCTAGGGAAAAGCTACGATTTATGCGATAATTTTTGTGAGTTTTTTTGGCTTACTCGACAGCTACTGTAGAGTACCTATATATGCCATATTTTACGCAAATAAATATCTTTATCTTTAATGATATTCATCGACTTGGTGTTTTAGGTATTCTCTTTTAATTAAATGCTCTTTCAGTGTTGACCAACACTATTGTGTATATTTTACAGCAGCAACGTTACACATTTTTACTTGTTTTAACGAAAGTATTGTTAGTCAGTAGTTTCCGCAGTATTTGGGTAATGTTCGTGTAGAACGTAGTCTAGGAGTACAAATGTGTTTGTACCTTGGGCTGCGCCTGCTCGTGCGGCGCGTGGTGGCGGCGCTTGTTGCGGTGCCGGGGCTCGCCGCCGGACTCGTCCGTGTCGGGCGTGCCCTCCGCCAGCGAGCCCTCCGACGACGCCTCGCGCCCCCGCGCCCCGCACGCGCCCCCACTCGCGCCCCCGCCTGCACAACAATACAAGCTCACACCTCATACAACGCTCACACACGCATACATCACTGGAAAATATATATATTAGGTACTCTGACAGGAAAGCATCGGGAAAATATCGATAAAACATAAAAATTTATATTATCACCTTCAACGTATGTCACTTTGGAAATAATAACTTCTACCATTACTACTACTACTACTACTGTAATGCATAATTCAATCATTTTTAAAACTCGTAGTAATTATAGTTGCAAAAACAGAAAGTAGTGGGAGCGGAAACATATCTAGCAAATAATCCAATCACTCCATGGTAATTGTTGATATTTTAGCAAAAATAGAAGAACGTGGTACTAATCTTACAAATATAAAAAATAATAGAACTTTAAAAAACATCCCTATTCATGATACTTTATTGCCTGAATGTATATACGAACGACAATAAAAGTTCCACAACTACTGGCAATATTGAATTTGAAGCCAGTTCAGCAAAATGTACCAAATGTTACACATTTTGATAAATTAAAACATTAATAAATAAAAAGCAATGTTATTTGGGTTTTATTTATCAATTGATACCGCAAATGTATGTTGCTAGTTGCGTGGGACATAAGACTCGGTCCTAAGCCAAAACATTCATTCATTCAACGGTGACCATAACACGCCAGAAAATCCCGCGGCGCACTCACCCCGTCTGAACGAGCTGTAAACATTTCATAATCAATATAAATAAGTTACCATTTCTTGAAACATCTCGGACATATTGATCAATGAATGCATCGTAGCCTTTCATTTAGTGCACGATATGGCACGATACTGGGCAATACTGGAACCACATTTGCCCAACAGGTATATTTTAATGATAATAAATGACGTCTATCGTTAATGGGTGAAGCATAATGAATAAGAAAACTTTATTTATTTATTTAATCTCTTTTTGAACTAAAAAAGCGCCCAAATACCAAGTGGGTGTCCGTCCGAGGAGCATTTCAATTGTATATCAAAATTGTACATCAATTTCGTACTTTTCATAGTGTAACTTCTTAGTAGACCAACGAGTCGACATGATGGCGTGACTCACGTAACATACCTACTTAAATCAAACCATAGACTGAAAATAATGAGTCTGTTATTGTGGAGTATCAAACACCAGGCCTAGAAAAAATACATTTATTTATACTGTAAATAGAGATGACGACGGGGTATGAAAGTTAAAAATCCAGCATAGCGTAGCTTGTCGTATAATGTTACTATACTTAGATAAAACGAATCAAAGTTAAGAGTGGGAGCTAAAACGTCATTTCTACGTATAAAACATTCCTACGAGTGACGTCACGCGATATTTCAAATCAATATATCGCCGAAAGTATTTGTTTCTGTAACAAAATAAACAATACGTATCTAATGTTTTATACAGTCTACCAGACGGGCATTATAATAAAAATTAGTCATCTACCCTATTTTTAGTAGGTAGATGTTCAAATGTGTAGTTTGTCTCATGCGTTGGTACATTTATACAAAACTGAGTGTATATGCGATACATACGTATATGAGTGACAAAAACTTGTACAAAACACTACGAGGAAACAATACAGTGCCTCTAGCCAACGCCACTTTAGCGCTTGGACCGAGAGAGTAGAAAACTAAATGTATGGGGATGACACTGACAAGAGTCAAAATTTACGTCAATATTCCATATTATTTAGTTTTCTATTCTACAAGTAGACAAGTGCTAAATGGCATTTGGCTACAGCTGCTGGTTGGAGTGGGTACGTCGTTCTCACCCAAACAGAACCAAACTCTACGCCAGGGATGGCCAACCGGTCGATCGCGACCATGTCTAGTCGATCGTGGCAAGGCAAATATATTAATATACAAACCGGACTGCGCAACGTAATTACCAACTACTACAGCACTATCTTGTGTCTTTGTTCAATATATTATGTACTAAACACAACACTGAAATAGCATTATTTTAGATTTCGAAAAATATATAAGTGGTAGATCGCACAGGGTTTCGTTAGTAAAAAGTAGATGTTAGGTCTAATCAAGTTGGCCAGCCCTGGTCTAAGCAACGTGATGACGTGCCCTCTACGGCTAGGGATGACGCCCCGCCTGCGCGCCGACACATCCACTCATTGTATACACGATACAATACTTATTTACATAATAAGCATCATAATATTTTGCTAATGCGTCACTTTGTATACAGAGAACCTTCTACGACTAGCTGCACATTGCACAAAATCGAAACATCGGTAGGGTACACATTATACTGGTTGTTATGTACTCCCACAAAACGAGAACAAAACCCTAATACTCGGACTTTTTCCAATAAATATGCACAATTTTATACTAATCTTATCTTAATATAATTAAAATGACCACGACAACATATAATCAATTTGGTGAAGCAGCTCGGTGGTTACCTAATTTGAAAGGTTCTGGGTTCCGTAGTCAACGAGAAAACCATATATAGTGTTAGTGGGAGGCAGTGTAGGTGTCGGGCGGGCAGTGCGAGCGGAGCTAGCGGCACAGCGACGTGAACTAGTGGATGCTGGAGTATGTGACAGGCATGTAGGGCGTAATGGAGGCGGACATGACGAGCGCGGCGCTCTCCCCGCACTAGTTACCAATACCATCGCGTGCGGGTGCCAAGTCTAACGACGTCTACGACGAGCTAGCCAGGTCGCCATACTCATTTACAATACATAACAACATGTGTAATCATTTACTTCGATGTTTATAAATTATACGTTTTGTACTTGAGTTATGAATTTTGTCTATTTCTTGCGTGTTCGTCCACGCAAAGTTAATCCTGACACTTCGAGCGGCAGTCGTGGCCACAGGGACTTTACTTTTCGACGGCTTATAGTTAACAATTTTGATTGGACATGAATTTGGCGAGCGAGTTGGGTATTATATAATTGCAGTTAACGTAGCGTGTATGTCGTGATTTCATCCCTCGTTTTACTTGGCACCCTGGATATCCAATCACATTATATCACATTTGCCGAATGACGTAAAAATATGAAATGAAGGGTAAATATCGTAACAGAGAGTATCCCAAACGCATGATATACTTACGATGTGTGAGACCCTATCGCTATACAGCTGAGCGAGCGGACAACAAACAGAAAACGCTAGTTATAAGGCATGTCACGTAAGGCGTGGCCGGTACGTATGTATGTATGTATGTATGTTTGTATGTCTGTGTGTCTGATGTGCTCACCGTTGAGCGGCGCCAGGGGGTCCTCGGGCGCCGCGTCGTCCGCCGCGTACTGAGACTCGCGGAACGAGCTGCACGACGACAGCAAGCTGCAACAACACGACCACTGCTTCATTAACCATTAGTCGCAGCTGCAATACCCGACAGGGAACTAACAACATGGATGTTCACAACATTTTTAAACTTGTATTCTTAGATACAAAGTTTGTTTGTAATGGGCACCTCTGCCTATCCCTTCGGGGATCACATTACGGCAGTTAATGCCACTGTACAATGTATCACCCACTTTTCACTATATATGTTATGAGTCCCATGTAATAGGGGGTGAACCTATTGCCATATAATTGCCATATACCGGGCACATTTCCAGACTCCGTGCTACTACTGAGGTTTTTAAAAGCACGGTAATACTTTGCCCTACCCAAGAATCAAACCAGAGTCCCCGAGACCACTCGGCCAATGAGGCAGTCAGTTGAGTCAGTTAGATACAAAGTGTTTCAGTAAAAGAAAGGGACGGGTGGCAGGTTCGTTCTGTGATAATGTCCGTTCGTGTCTGTTGTAGGCGGGGTTGCGTACCTGGTGCGTTTGGGCGGCGTGGGCGCCTGCTTGCCACGGCGGTTAGTGGGGCGGCGCATCTGTACGGCGCGCCCCTCGCCCGCGCCCCCCGCGCCCCCAGCGCCCGCCTTCTTCAACGACATCTGCGGCGTGCCGGCCGGGCACGCGGCGCCGCCCTCCTGCAGCTGCTTCTCTACCTCTGCGCATACACCGGCGAGTTAGAACAGTACTACGTACATAGTGGGGCAGAGTGCTAGAGTAAGCATGTGGTTACCCTCGGTGATGGAGTTGTCCTGGAACATGTGCTCGAGCGCGTGGTGGATGTCGCGGAAGGTGGGTCGGTCGGCCGGGCTCCATTGCCAGCAGCCGCGCATGAGCTCGTACACGGCGCCCGGGCAGCCCGGCGGGCACTCCATGCGGTAGCCCTGCATTGTTTCATTATATTTACACAATACCCGACCGCGATTCAAGACAAATCAATTGTGCTGGTCTTGAGAATAGACTTCTAAGCAACACAATACAAGAGAAATGAAGTAAACCTGTGTATTTGTAAACATGCTATGTATATTGGTGAGCTCAACGCTCGCGTCATTATTACTAGGAATATCTTGACGTGCTGCAACGAGTTACCCACGACCAGGTCTCACGCCCCGCACAGTCCGTGTTCAGAGTACGTAATATGATAGCACGTGTGTGAGCTAGCGAAACTTCAGTTTGTGGGTTAACATACATATCGCGCTTCTTACAGTATTACATATTATTACAATAATCGGGCTTCGGACTGAATGCATCCTAAACCAATCCTGTTACCAACGCGTACATACAACAAAGAGATTGTGTAAACAAGGTGACGCCGTGTCCGTACGTACGTCTGTCCCTATCTGCCCGCCCCGACCCCAAAAATGGACAACAATCTCGATACATGATTTCTTACAGCAATCTGTTCTTTACTTGGCTGAACTGTTTTATAAGCTGAGCAAGGTTGTGTCGACACTAGTCATGTTACGAATATTCGCACATTTTTAGACATTCGCATTCGCAATTATTGATGCGAATATTGTGAATATGAACTTCATAAAAATAAATAACCTTTTCAATTACAAAGGTAAAATTGAATAGAGCAATAGATATATTATCAATTTCTTTGAATATTTATTACATTAGCTTATCTTGTAATTAAACTGTCTTACAATCACAGAGCAAAATCATCTAGGTACAGGGCGACTCAGTGTATTCCTCTCGGGAGATTTGTGATCGTGGCTAGTTTCTTAGATATTTAACATTTTTGGTTTTGGTCAAAAATTCCCGAACTAACGACAAAAACATAAAAAAATAAAAAAACTACTGGTTTTATTTAAGTTTTTATCAGTTGCGAATAACATAAATAAACATTTATTTACTAGCTTCTTTCCGCGACTTCGTACGCACAATCCCGTTTTCTTCCGTTTTCTCCCGTTCTCAGGTATATCAGGGATATCTCAGAAACTAGCCATTTTCGGACTAGGGACCTCAGGGCTACTTTTGTAGGAAATTAGTTCCGAGCTAGAGAATTCATTTTTCTTGAGACATCTGTCACTGTCACTGTCAGAGGAACAGGAATGTGTTTCTATAGTGACTCGTTTAACTCGTCGAGTACCGGTTTTATAGACACAATTAAAGAACAATAGGTCGCGGTCACCGGTGACCACTTGGTATTTGACAGTTTAAAGTATAAAGAAACATGATAAAACCAGAAAACATTTTGACTTTTATCGTCTATAATCGAGTGACCGTCCTCTAAACTCTGCCGCCCTAGGCCGCGGGCAACTGTTGCTTTCTTCGGAGGTACGACGTCCTGAAGTTATTTCAATTTGAGCACTGAGACATTATATTGGTAGGTACTTTGACTACGAAACCACTTTTGTGATTAGTTAAACATACTTAGTTGTAATACGGTGTTTTATTCTGCATAACAATACCCATCCACAGAGGGATATCTTATTCCTATTGAGAGGTGGGCCCAACATTGCTCCATATCCTTTAACAGATATCATTCAAGTAACTAGAACATGTTCCCCACAACGAATTGAGACTGGCCCCCGTAATAACAAAGGATAGTCATACAAACAAGTCAGTACAAACTGTCCGTCATCTTTTAAACAGTTCTTATACTTTTATCAGTCTTTACATTTGAACATAAACAAAGGACAATGTCCAAAAACATCCCAGAGTTGATGAAAATCATCAATGCGCCATTTAATAGACCATAAGTACGAGGTCACAAGTACGCTATTAGGTTTGGCCGAGACCATAACGGAACGAGCCAGCAACCTGCAGAATGTGACAAGTGTGTAAAACAAGGCGCGTGAGTAATTTATTTTTGTTCTTGTTTCTTTGTTTGTTACTAATAAAAGTGATGAAGAATTACATTTACCAGAATTACATACAAACCTTTGGAAGGTTTGCATGTAATTTTACCTTTAAGATTTTCCAAAGTTAAACAAACGTACATCATCACAATACGATGAGATTTTATTCAAACAACCAGTACAAAATGACTGATAAATTTACGGAAAGAACATACAAAGCGAGTCAATAATAAACTAGTCTTATTTTTTTACTAGCGACCCGCCCCGGCTTCGCACGGGTGCAATATGCATTGATTATACATATAAACCATCCTTAAGAATCGCTCTATCTATTTAAAAAACCGCATCAAAATCTGTTGCGTAGTTTTAAAGATCTAAGCATACATAGGGACTTGTTGATATTTTCATGGAAAACAATTATTGAATTTGGGTTAGACTATGTACTCTACCTTGCCACATACAAATTCTGGGTTTTTGCTCCATATATTTTTGGCCATTGTCCGTTTTACTTTTAAACTAAAGTCTGAATAGTCCCGTCAGTTAGGGACGAGTCAAATTTTGGCCGAGCCCTTGGACTAACCACTCGGAATAGAGTGTCAAAGTGGATTCAATATTGGTAACGTCTATTATATAGTTGAGCAAAGTAAGTCTGAACATTGACATTAATAATGATCGTTATATTTTTTTCTATGAATCTCCGAACTTTCTGAAAGGTCGTGATTTCAAGAATCACGTTTTATAAAATGGCAGATGTGAGCAGATGTACATATATTAATTGTTCCATCAAAATATAGCATGTGAAATAAATAATATATTTTTAGACGAAGCATTTGTACGCAATAATTGTAAAGTTCTTGGTCCTATACAGCAACAATCTGAACATTGACATTAATATAATACAGAGGGTCGCGAGTAGCTATGCGACGGGGATAAACTGGGCGCGGTCCACTTGGTGTCCCGACCGGGAGTTACTGTACTCTGCTTGGCCGGCAGGGGCGGCAGGTTGTAGTTCCGGAGCAGGTTTATCGGAAGGCGCCGCTGGCCGGTCTCTATAATGTACGTAATGTCGCCAAGTGTGGCCGGCTGATGTATGCGACTCCGCCGTCCTCACGCGGCTACACGGCTAGTTACGGACTATTATTATGACTCAATTGAACTCGAGGGAACGTTTTGATCAATACTGTAAGTAATGACAATTTTTATTTTACACATCTATTGTTTTAGGTACTACCTACTACTCGTACCTAATACCGAAAGCAACTAGTAGGTATGTAACAGTGCGTCTACATCGAGTGAAGCTGATTCGCTAGATGTGAACGCACCATGAGGATAATGGCAGGAGTTTGTTAGTTATGTCGAAATACAAGTGTACCAGGACAAGACTGTGTTGACTATAGGAAGAGGATAACAGACTCACGAGTGACAGCGACATTGGAGCACCGCGGAACTCATGTCGGCGGGTGCGCGTGCGCACTGCCGCCGTCGCGCGCGCATTGCTGGGTGGTGAGCGCACGCGGCGCGCGTCACCGCCCGTAAACAATCGCACACTAACATATACAAACAAACGTATCTCGTCATCACGCCCCTATACAGCGGGATGCAGCTACTCCGGTTAACAACGCTTTTATTTTTTATATATTATATAATATGATAAATGTCAAGCGTATGTTGTAGACATTGCAGTAAAACCAAATCACGGAACATAATCTGATCAACATCAGACGCGTTCCCTTTGGATAACATTAAAAGAAGGCTAGACGCTAGTTCAAATCAAATCAAATGTGAGAACCCAAACTCCGGCGCGGAAATAATAGCGCAAGTTTAGATAAATGTGTGCGGCGCAGTACGGAGCAGGTGTTTGGTAAACAGTAGCGAGGCAGGAGCACCCTGTGCGCGCGCATTGTGGGCGCGGGTATAAACGCGGCGCGCGCGCTGCCCCGGCACCAGTCGCAGCCGCGCCGCGCCCCGACATGATCGCCTTCAAGAACACAATCGTCTACTTCCTGCTCTTCTCAGTCGCCGTACTAGGTAACGTATCTAAACTAATCACTTGTTGTTATTTTTGATAGTATTTATGGTTCTGCAATGCGATTTGCCAATCTTGTAATTTATCCAAAATGTATCCAAAATATTAACAGTCTTTATATTGTAGGTAAACACAAAAAGATGAAACCGAAGAAGTTCGTTTCACCGACCACAAAGGGTATTCAGTGTTACAACTGCCTATCGTTCGACCACCCGGGGTGCTGGGATCCCGACCACCCCGACTACGCCAATATCACGGTGAGTAAGTGACGAAAACCCGCCCCCACCCCCCGCTGCCGCCTGTAACCCCCTCTCCCTCTGCGCAGGTACCGAACATCGACTGCTACATTCCCGGCATGGCGTTCCTGTGCATCGTCATCACCTCGGAGTCCGCAAAGCTAGGTAAGTGTCTGGGAGCGTTATGAGTGTCCATACACTCATAACGCGCGGTGTGTAACGCGTACGTGTGCTTGCAGTGGAGACGGGGCAGGAGATAGGGCCGGTGCGCGCGCGCACGTGCGTGCCCGCCAAGGACTTCTCCAAGAAGACGGTGTCGTACTCGATGTGCAGCAAGCTGAGCAAGGAGTTGTCGGCGTCGGAGATATTCTCGCGTATCGCGGTGTCGCGGCCGCAGTGCACGCTCTGCAAGAAGCACCTGTGCACGGACGCGTCGCACTGCTAGCGGTACAATGGGAGCGTGTTACGCAACGTGTTTAATCGACTACCGACCAGTTTCCATTCTAAGAAATGCAAAAACGTATAGTACTTTGTTGTTTTGAAACTAACACACCTTGTTGAACTAATTGGAGTTGTTGGGGCAAGAGACGCGCGGTTCGTTTGTTTTTTTTATATTTCAATTATTTTAATAAACTTTTAAGATAATCTAATGTTTGTTTTGATTGTCTGAATGTATCGGTCAACAACGCGCGCCCCTGGAATGGATGACGCGGCAGAAACAATGCGATTATTTGCGATTGTTATTGTTGTAATGGATAACTTATTTGTAAACGAATGCGATTCCTCACGCAGTTGAAATTACCTTCTCGAGCATGTGGTAGACGTCGGCGAGGTCGACGCCGGGGTAGGGCGACATGCCGTAGGTGGCGATCTCCCAGAGCAAGATGCCGAAGGCCCAGACGTCGGACTTGGTGCTGAAGGTGTTGTAGGCGAGCCCCTCGGGCGCCGTCCACTTGATGGGGAACTTGGCGCCGGCGTGCGCGGTGTACGTGTCGTCGCGCATGAGCCGCGCCAGCCCGAAGTCCGCCACCTTCACGAGGTGGTTCTCGCCCACCAGGCAGTTGCGCGCCGCCAGGTCCCTGCAACACGAACTCTCACATTCTAACACTCGCACTCGCCTTATACATCCGGGTCAGATACTTAATTCAATTGTGACTGTTCTTTGATTGTATTAAATTAGAAACTGTTTTATATTTAGCACGCCTAACCTTTATACATCATGTAATTTTAATGTTCTACATCTAGCTATATATTTTTGTAAAAGCGAATAAATAATTTAATTTGGTACTTAATGAAGTTAGGTCTTTTTAATTCCTGACATGTCCTGTGAAATGTGATTGTACGTTGGAATGCATTATTTTGTACATAGTGCACACACAGATCAGCGGTCTCATTGTCACGAGTACCTACCGTTTAGTGTAAGCCCAATGTGAAACTCTTACTGAGTGATACTGTTAGATATAATAGGGTAGATGACTATTTGTTCTAATGTATGTCTGATAAGTTGCTTAAATATATATGTTGGACATATTCGTTCTTTTTTCTTACTGAATCAAAACCTTTCGATAGTATATCGACTTTAAGTAATGTAACCGTCACGTGTTGTATTAAACACGAGGTGCACTCCATACGTAGCAAGCAGTTAGACACCGAAAGCGTTTGTATTCGACTCGTTAAAGTCTATAGGGGTGTGGGTGCCGGCAGAGTAGTATACTCAGAGTATGTTTGTCGGCCTGCTCTTCCCGCGGGGCTGGGTCGGCAAGTAAGAGCCAACTACAGGACTGCACTTTTGACAGAGACCGGTCAGAAGCGCTCTTTAGATAAACGTAATCCTTTTAGTCTACTATCTCCGAGCCGTCTGCCATGGATGCCATGCCAGGAGTATAGTCCAGCGGTGGACTACGAACGATTTATTATGAATCCTTCGAAGGACTCTAGAATCTGCCTTGCTGACATATTTCCAGGCAGGACGTCTGTTGAATGAACGTTCGCGCATTTTATTATTTATCAATGAGTATCATTTCGGTAGATAATTATATATGTCGTGTCTTAATGAAATTACTTTAAATGACACAAATTGCAGCTCTGCTACAATGTGTTCAGGTTAGAAGTTTGGAACAATAATTAGTTCGGTCGATAAGGAAAGACAAACAGTTGCGTGTTTACAGACGCGAGCGTTGTGTAACTCGGCCGCGGCCGGCGGCACCTGCGGGCGCTAGCCCCGGCCGGTGCCAAACTGCCAACTAAACATTGCTTGAGACACGCAAAATCTCTAGCTCCTCAATATTGCAATACTGGCTGGTTTTTTCAGTTAAGCAAAAATCCGGCAAATTGTGTTCTGCGACGGTTCCTTACAAATATACAGAGTGCTGAACAAAGTAAACTAGACTAGAGCGTTGGATTGTGTCACATGGGTCTTCTGTTATTAATTTCTATTTCAATGGGTGAGTGAAGGTATATTATGAGTTCAGTCATAATAATATATTTTTTGTATAATGACTTCTAAGTTCGTGAATTCTAAACAGTCACAGAACAAAAGTAATTATTTATACATTCGTACGAGGCTGTTACTGTATTTGTACGCAGCACTATTGTACAACACTCGGTTTCAGGCACGCTGTAACACCATATTATTTCAATTCAAAATTAAATAGGTACATACTTATTTCACGTTTATTTTTCATTTTTGACAGACTTCCCAAAAAGGAGGAGGTTCTCAATTAGGCCGGAGGCCGGAATTTTATTATATTTATACATAAAAAATATGTACATACGTATAAAAAATATATATTACATACATTGATTGCACATAATTATGTGCATGATTATTCCAAGGTATGTGGACCGATTTGCGTGATTTTTACTCTTTTTCGACGCGACATAGCTGCTATATATTATGGTCCCATACAAATTTGATTTAGTTTGGTTCAATAGTTTTCATATGCAGCATTAAAAGATGCCTTGTGCAATAAGACCGCCCATTGTACACTATTTTTGTTAATATTTATCCTATAATGTGATTGTGTGGTGTACAATAAAGCATATATTATTATTATTATTAAAATTACTTGAATCATGTAATTTTGACGATACTTTGTACATTTGTACGTCAAGGCTCTGTATATGAGATCAGATTAGCGCGATTGTTTTTTGTTCGCTAGGGTATACTTTAGAGTTGACATTATTGTCACCTGGTCAGCATCTGATGATGGGATCGCAGGGAAATCGAGGGCGCCCCTCAAACTATAAGCATATTTATGTTTATCCTTACAATTTCGTAAAGTTGTTTAACCATTTGCGTCTGATGACCATTTCATATCAATGAGCTGATGATGGACGCTACAACTCCTCTCAATACTCAATAGTTACGAGTTTCAAAATATTCTTTCAAAATTATACTAACAATTGGATCGAGCATAATGTTGTTTGAAGCTACTAGGTGGACCTGATTTACTACTATATAAAAATAAGTCGGGTTTTCCTTCCTGACGCTATAACTCCAGAACGCACGAACCGATTTCCACGGTTTTGCATTCGTTGGAAAGGTCTCGGGCTCCGTGAGGTTTATAGCAAACAAAATTGAGGAAAAAAATTTCTTCATCTTTTAATCACCAAACGAAATGTTACACAAAACGAAGCCATCTGGTGGTGCAACGGAGTTCGACGGGTTTGCTGGTTAAACATAAATCTTATTAATGTTTACATTTTGGATAGAAAAAAATACGATGTGCCCCATTATATTTATATCTATTAACTAAAAATAAGGAATAAAATAAAACTACGTTTAAAAGTCGGTGCCCCAAGCCCAATACAACATATTACTTTCCAATACTCATAATAGATACGCCTACCTAAGTTATATACAACTTTTTAACTTTCGCTAGGTGTAGTACTCAGTAGAGTACAATGAGTAAAATATCCTTGAATCCTATGGGGTTAGCCTAAAGAGTATATCCATTTAAAATAATATAATCGGGAGGTGGTTCCAAGCCAGGGTTGCTGAGCAGGAGAACAATACATCAGACAACGTCTAAACAGGAATTATAGTCGATTTCATATGCACTATTTGAAGATTATTTTTGAAGGTCGTAACTTAATATTATTCTATAGTTTTGTGATCGATTTACTGTTAAATATAAAGCGAAATTATATTTTGAAATTAAAATCAAAATAATTTTAATATTTATTTATCAATTCAAGTTAATTATTGCTAATATTTATTTTATATTTTCTACAAAATAAAACCAGCGTGAAATGGATGACAACGTAATGTCATCATAAACCTATGAGAGAACCAAGCGACTATAGAAAACATATACAAGGACAATAAATAGTATTTTCATTGTTTTGAGAGTATAAAACACGAAATAAGGTTCCAGTCCCGAACTACGCCGAAAGGAAATAAATTGGTTTCTAAACACGTAAGGAATATCGATGGGCTACGAAGTAATGGCAATAGTTACTTCATACGCGCAACTTCCCTCGCCGTCAACCCACGGCGACCATAGCACCCTACAGAACAAGTTGAAAGTCGACGCACGCTGTGATGTCCTTCAAACGTTGTGTGCATTAGTAGTAAGATTTAATCGCTAATTTTAAGGTAATGTTAAATATGTAGCATCAACTGGATGTCCAAATAAATAAACGTAATTATTCCCCCAACCTAACATCACGTCTTATCATTCTCGAGTAGATAAAGTATATCTATTAACGGTTGAATGTATATAATTATTACAGATGAATAATTCTCGGTTTGTCACCCGAGTAAAACTCAGCTGTGTAATGTGTTTACAAACAAAGCGGCAAGTGTAAACATGTTGCTGCTTTCATGTGTTACACTAGCTTCTGCCCGCTATTTCACCCGCGTCATTCCGTTTTTTATTTTTTTTGGTATTGTTGAAATCTGTATGGTGTAATACTTTAAAATCAAAAAAATGTTATTATAAGTTTGTTTTTATTGACATCTTCCAACAGAATTACACTTAGAGAAGATTGGAGGCTGTACATTACCTGTTAACTATACTCGGTACAAAATAAAAGGTACATTCTGACAGATGCCATGTAGTCACAAGTAAATAAGATCCGTCGCTGTTTATCACTAATTCCTAAGTCATAATATAACGTTGAAATAATTAGAATTTGTAATCAACGGATCAGAAAATATAATATCTCAAGAGCGTTTGAAATATCGTATCCAGACAAAAAGGTTTTTACAGATCTAAACCAACCCACAATATCAAACATCGATACATTTGGCAAATTAAACCAAAAAAATATGTGATTCGATAATAATAAATAATAATAATAATTGTTTATTTTATAAAAAGGGGCATATTTACATGAATAGTATCTTAACGATTTGATTAGAGCTCAGTAGCTTATTTGCCTGAACTAGGTTGAACCTGTGTTTCAGGCTATTCAGTACAATATTTTATTTTAAAGTTATAAATAAATTAACACTATAAAGTACTACAATAAATCTTATATGACATAAAAGTAAAAGGTAAAAACAGCGAGTTAGCAGATTATCTGTCGACCAACAGTAAGTCTTCAGTCTGCGCATATGCAGTATTACGCAAGAACGCAATAACAGTTTTTTTACAATTAAAATAGTTTAATGTAAAAACGCTTAATTTTCTATTTAACCTATTATACAAAAGTGGACCTAAAAATGAAAAGAATCTTTCGGAAAAAACATTTCTAGTTGCATTGGAACTGCATACTATATCATTCCGTCTCTTTTTAGTATTGTTAGCATTATATGAGTGCATAGTATGCTGCTTTAATACTACTTGTAAAATGAAGAGCTGGCGGACTGTTAGTACGTTACAAAATTTATATAGTTGATCTGTGGGATAGAAATAGGGATGGAAGTTTGCAACCTTTAAAATAGCTCTCTGAGCTCTTTCAAGAGGAAGCAGGATAGTTTTTGAAGCACCGCCCCATGATATTATACAGTATTGAATTACAGATTGACATAAAGCCAGATAAACCTGAGTGATTAGTTTTGAATCAGCAAACGTTCGAATTTTTTTAAAGACATATATAAGCTTGCGCACTCTTTTTACAAGACTTTGAATATGATGTCTAAAAGTGAGTGTGTCATCAATTATTACCCCAAGATATTTGATGTTACGGGAATTAAGGATAAGAGGACAATTACACATGTGGACTGAGATGTTATTACATTGATGAGCGTATAAGTGAAAGTTATCAGTGATGAGTTGAGGTTTTCGCATAGAAAAGTGTACATATTTAGTTTTGTCAGCATTTAATGTTAGTAAATTGCCTTGAAGCCAGTTAGTCACAGTATTAAAACCTATTTGAGCATGTTCTTGCAATTCGCCAATGGTTTTAGCCGAAAAAATTAAAATCGATGTTTATCTTTAAATATACTTAAAGTAAAGTACTATTAAGTATTATTATTTTTTTTAATCTTCATTACGATCTGTACACGGATAATAGACAGGTTACATCACTATGAATGGCTTTAGAATATTTTATTCTCGGAATAATTCGTGTATTTGCCCGCAACGTCACCAGCGTTCCTGGGGGATAAGTTCCCTGTTCCAAATTTCATCCCGATTTCTTCAGCCGCTTTGACGACGCTTACTCTTACTTATATTACTAAGAAGTACTAGATTTATGAATGATATTGTTTATGAAAGTGTATGAATTACGTAGTAATGATTTAATATTATGGATTCGACTTTTTTTGCTTATCGCGAGCGGTACATAGACTACCCAGTGTCAGAGTGGACCTCTTATATTGTGACCGCTATAAAACACAATAATAATATACATGTAGAGTCATCTATACAACTGAATCAATTATGAGGAACCTATTTCAGACCGTGTTTTCGGAAAAACATAAAATTTACACTAACTATATGGATATATCTGTACTAACTATATGGATATCTCTGTATATTTATCTGTGCCGTGGGGTCAAACCAATGGAGCCATGCGTGCGGCTATGTATGACACTTCAACCATACTATTGAAAGTTGATTAAAGTAAGACAAAGAAGCGTTGAATATACCTGTGTATAAAGGAGCGGCTCTCGAGGTAGCTCATGCCGGACGCGATCTGCGTGGCCATGTACATGAGCACGACGGCGCCGGGCACGCAGTCGCGGCTGCCGGTGCGCAGGTAGTCGAGCAGGTTGCCGCGCGACATGAACTCCGTGATGATGTAGAACGGCGGCTCGCGCGTGCACACGCCCAGCAGCTGCACCAGGTTCGGGTGCCGCATCTCCTTCATGATGGCTGCCTCCTCCAGGAAGTCCTTCAGCGCCATCGTGTCGTCCTTTAGCGTCTTTACCGCCACCTGCGCACCGAAACATCACAATAGACACACCACTTGGCGATCCCGTAAAATGGCAATAGTATGACACTGGCTTTCATCTACTGAGATTTGACTTTTTATTTGTTTGTTATAATTGAATAGGCTCCGAAACCACCGGACCGATTTGGAAAATTCTTTAACCGTTGGAATCCTACATTATCCATGATGTTCATGGCTATATTTAATAAGAGAGAAAAAAGGGAACCATATTAATTTCGATAATGTAACCCGATGTGTGAAAAAACTTCCAAAAGAACCCCTTATATTGCTTAAGCCTTTGACTGCCAATAGAACACTATTTTCAAGGACTAATAATAGTAGTAAGCTGCATCAGAATCAGAGATATTAGAGAAAAAATATGAATTCAATTAACTGAATACATTTTATTCTTGGACTAGCTTCTGCCCACGGTTTCGCTCGCGCTCTTTTAACGTATCGAAGGCAGGTTTACAAAAGATAAACAAGAATTAGTGCCCGATGTTTTTCTGGTCACAAATACACTCACAGGCACATTTAACCGCCCACTTAAGAAATACGTCACCACGTTAGTTTGCGATAAGGAATGTTTATCCCGATGGATGTTTTGTTTCAAGTGGGTACTTTGGCAACAAATTAAACACTCTGACCCTTGTTTTTTTTAGAAGTTCGTGTATACAGATGCATTTTTGTAATTCAGTCGAAATTTGACATTCCTTGCGATCGGATTAGTGTGAGATTTAACCTGGTTTTCCTGCTCTTATTGGTGTAATTACTGTTCTGTCAAATTATTGCATTAATTTGATTACTGTAATCACACAAAAATGCCACTGGATGCAACTGGAGTTGCAAGAGCCGTAGTTTTTGCTGATGCTGGGTACAGCCAACGTCGCATTGCTCGGATGCTTGGTGTACCTCAAACCACTGTACGGGATGCTATCAGGCGCTTTCGGGAGACGGGTTCCAACACGCGGAGACAGAGACAAGGCCGTCATCGGTGCACATCTGCTCCAGAGGATCGTTTCATTGTGAACAATGTGCTGAGAAATCACTTCACCACTGCTCCCGAGGTGATAACTAGCCTGTTTGAAGTACGAAATGTCAGCGTAAGTGAACGGACGGTGAGAAGAAAGTTGGCAGAGAGGAACCTGACTGCATTACGTCCTGCACGCGCCCCAGAATTGCTCCCACAGCACCGTAGAGCGCTGAGAGACTAGACTACGGACCGATGGAACGGACGTTCTGTTTTCAGATGAAAGCAGAATAGCCCTACGAGGTCCAGATGGGCGACAGCGAGTGTACAGACGACCAAATGAAAGGTTTACTCCGTGTAAATAGTGGAAACTGTGGGTTGTGAAATTGAAAAAAAATGTTTTTTTTTTTTATTTAAATGGTGAATCAATGCAGTTTTTTACATTATTACACAGTGTTTAAATGACAAGGTGTGCCTAGTTTAAAAATAAAATATCAGACTTTCCCAGTTATAGGCAGCATACGAGAAAATCCAGAAAATCAAGGTGGGCGGTTAAATGTACCTGTGAGTGTATAATATCAATTTTAGATTTCTTGATAATTACGAGATGCTTGAAAGACACAAAATATAGCCTATACTACTTTCAATCCTTTCAACTATCACTTATAAAAAATCACGTCAATCCTTACTTAATATTATAAATCAGAAAGTGAGTTTGTTTATTTGTTTGTTTGTTCCGCTTTCACGCCGTAACTACTAAATTGATTCGCTTTGCAGATGTTAAGTTAGAAGTCCGTATTAAATAATAGGGTACTTTTTATCTCGGAATTTTTTTTATATTCCCGAGGGAAAACATATTGGTATAGATGGCGCTGTGTGTATTTGTATAGATGGCGCTGCATGTCATTTAAAACGAGTCAACGAATTACCTACTAATTGTAAATTCACGCTTTAATCTATAGCGCTACCTACACTTATTCAGTGCACTTTTCGACGCATTTATTTAATGTTTTAAAGTCAACGAATCACTCATTGCTATAACTACATAGTTACGCTACTAAGCGATAGATGGCGCTGGGTGTTATTTAAAAACGTGTTAACGTTATTTTTTAAGTATTTTTCGCTTTTAAATTTTGGTTCCTACCATTTTACATTAAATTATGTATTTTATAGATTTTAGGTTATTAAAGGTACACCAAAACCATAGCGTCAACCATAGTCTCAACCATTAGCAAATAAATTGTACGCTGTTGTTTCCACGTCGATAGATGGCGTTAGGATCGAGTTAGATGGCGCTATGTTTTCGTTACCGGCGAAAGTATAGGTTCCGAGCTTCGGAAACAAATTATATTTTGGTGTAAGCATCACACTGTGATTTTTTTTTTTCGCTAGCTCAATAATAGGTTTGAAATGGGAGGATGGTACTTGTGGTAATGGGTAAATAACTCCTTCTATCCGTTGTTCTTTCACGCTTAAATGGCTGAACGGATTTTTAAGAAAGTTAGTATGGAGGTAGTTCGAGTCCTGGAAAAGCAAGGCTTTACCGTGGCAGAACTTCTCATTCCCACGAAAAATCTAAAAAGCGTGATATAACCAAAGCGAAAAGCTATTTGTTTGCTTGCATGTCTTAAACGGCAAAACGGAGGTACTAATTAACGTGATTTTTTAACTGAAGGTAGTTGAAGGTATGGATAGTCACATAGGCTACTCTTTATCTTTTGTGACGCGAGCGAAACCGCGGGTAAAAGCTAGTTCTTAATAAAACAAACATCTTATGCTATGTGACACATTTTTGACAATTGAGTTTCATGCCAATGGATCATTGAATTTTTTTTGTAATCATGATATAAGATTAAGGTATACCAAGAGGCTGAATACTACTATTGACCACTGAACCTCATCATCATCATCATAACATCACGCCTTTTATCCCCGAAGGGGTAGGCAGAGGTGCACATAGAAGTAACACCCACTTTTCACTATTTATGTTGAGTCCCATGTAATAGGGGGTGAGCCTATTGCCATATACCGGGCACATTTCCAGACTCCGTGGTACTACTGAGATTTTTAAAAAACCCCAGTAATACTTTGCCCGACCCGGGAATCGAACCCGAGACCCTTTGCCCGGCAGTCGCACTTGCGACCACTCGGCCAATGAGGCAGTCACCACTGAACCTATTTAATTGAAATTCGGTTCAACAAGAATTGGAGACACTGACACTAGAATGTTGTTGTTTGAATATTGACTATTTTTCTAGTCACAAATCTAGTTTCGCCAGGTATAAACAGGTAAATTGATAGTAGTAGCATTTGGCACCGGTCTGTTAATTTAATTAAATTTAAATGAAAATAACGATTATTAAATTTAATTATGAACACGGTGGTGTAGAGTAGCCTGCGAAAATCAGACCTGAAATACGGTTGTCGAATTTTAAAAGTGAAATATTGCCGCAAGTGAATGTGTGTGACTGAGAGGTCCCAAGCAACCGACCCATGCGTTAGAAGAGCAGTGAGCATAGCAGTGCTTAAAGTCCATCCGTTTAAAAAGAGTGTGAATGCTATTTGTCAGTGCAAATGACAAGGAATAGTGATAGACTTGTATATACTGTGTATCATTTTGGAGTAATTTATACTATGCTCACTCCTGTTCTAACGCATGGGACGGTTGCTTGGGACCTTGTGCGTTCAGAGGCTTTACTACTAGTTTGTTTTAGGTTGAAAGTAATCGAAACGAGACCGCGTTTGGCTGCAATTCTAAAAACATTCGTATTTTGTAAGGGATAGGACTGAGACAATGGGGGCAGTCTCCTATTATAGATGTAATAATTAGAGTGTACTGACGGTGATGTTCCCACGCTTCCAGGCAGCCTCGTACACGTCGCCGTACTGGCCGCCGCCCAGCTTGTGCTTCATTACGATGTCGGTGCGGTCGATCTCCCAGTGGTCGGGCGGCGCCAGCGGAAACACGGTCGGCTTGTTCCGCTTGGGCGCGGGATACAGCAGCTGCGTGATGAGTCCGTCGCCCACCACGGAGTGGTGGTGCACCAGCTCCGCCAGCGTGCCGAACTTGGACTCTGACGTCACGTACACCTGCACACACACACACACCGCTCTATATCAAACACGGTGCTCCCTTGCGCGCTCGGTCCTCGCGTGGGACGTTTATTACCTTTCCGTCCGAGTCCTCGTTGATGCGGTAGTGGTAGACTCGGCCCTCATACCGTAGCGAGATACTTCGTTGGCCGGGACTGGACTCCGACTCGCGCACCTGCCAACAGACACGTACCATCATTTTTGGTCCACTAACAAGTCTTACAAAACCAGTTTATAATTATTATTGTCCTATGTCACTGCAAAATATGTAAGTATAGTATCAAATACAAAAATAAATTAAAAATGACTAATTTTTGCTTTCTTTTTATAGTTATTTGAATCAGTTTCTCTTATGATAGACCAACAGTAATCCCCTAACATATTTTCATCCCAAAACCCTTGATGTCGTTCTTCGAAAGCCCTTAAATCTTGGTGGAAACGTTCACCCTGGTCGTCACTCATACTTCCTAAGTTTTCAGGAAAAAAATTCAGATGAGAGTGTAGAAAGTGAATCTTTAATGACATGTTTACTCCCATATCATGAACGTTTTTCAGTAAACTTTGCTTCTGTTTCTGAAAAACGTAACTTTTGTGTCTGGTAGTAACAAGTTCCATTGTTGTAAGCGGGAGCCAAGAAGCTCTGCTTTGATCTTGATAACTGTAAATCTCGTATAAGATCATTTAATTCGGCTTGATTAATTAAATTGATTCTGACGAATTTTCACCTCAAGAAAACACTCCACGTTTTCTTGAGGTGAAAATTCGTCAGAATCACTAGAAATCGACTTGAATTCAACATCACTGTTATTGTCATCTATATATATTTGCACTCGAACTACCGGGACAGACTGGATGGGGTAGACCTTTGAATGTAAAATCGGCTTAGTAACAGACGGAACATCGGCATACATAATACTTGCCTTATTTTTTTTGTTATATCCCAATGTGTTCGTAACACAAAAGTAACAATCATTTTCATGATTACTAGGTTCTCTCCATAGCATTGGCGAACCAAATGGAAGGTAAACTTTTTCTCCTGATGACCACTGGAGTAAGATAATTCTACAGCTTTCGCAAAACACGTGAGGCGCCCACTTTTTATCTTGATTTGCAACAGGAAATCCAAAATAATGAAGATATGCAGTTTTTAACGAATCTACAATAGGTCTTCTATTTTTTGAAAATATAAACTGTCCACAAACATAACAAAAACGGTCAGAACTTTGTTTGCACTTTCTGCTAGCCATTTTAATTCAATCCAAAGCAAAGTAACTGTCGTTTGAAGCGAACGAATAAACAATAAAACATCACCACCACGTCGGGTAGTTAAAAAAAACAATTGATGGCAGAAAAAAATTCAGACGTGATAAAACATTTCTGCTAACACTTTTAGGTTTAGGGAAGGTAGATTAACATATTGACATACATTTGGTTCGGGGTATAAATAAAAAGTAAAATTTTGTAAACTAGTGTAATATTAGTATTCAGCCCCTTTGTACACACTAATGTTATATGATGATAACAAAAAAAATTGTCAATTATAAGAATGTCAGATAACATAGTAATGTATATATACTGTTTGTTTTCTTAGAAATTGACGTTTTCTATTGAGTTGAGATAGTTGTAAGAATTGAAAATAGTACAGGCTACATTTTGTTTCTTTCTAACCCACCACTTCCCTAAAACAGGTGATGGAAGTGTGTATCGAGCATCTCGTAATTATCAAGATACCTAAAATTCGGACCTCAATCAATTCTTTTTATCTTTTGTAAACCTGCCTTCAATATTTTAAAAGAGTGCGAGCGAAACCGTGGTCAGAAGTTACTCCACGATATATTCATTTAATTGAATACGTATGTTGTCTTTAAAATTCCTGATTCTGAAGCAGCTACATGCTATTATTAGTTCTTGTAAACAGTCTTCTATTGGCAGTCATAGGCTAAAGCAATATAAGAAGATTTTTGGTAGTATTTTTAGTTTTTCACACATCGGGTTACATTATCGAAATTTATAATGGTTCCCTTTTTTCTCTCTAATTAAATATAGCCATGAACATAAAGGATTATGTAAGATAAGGGTAAAAAAAATTCAATCGGTCCGGTAGTTTCGTAGTCTATTTAATTGAAACAAACAAAATATCAAATGTTTCCACTTTATACTATTAGTGTAAAGAAGAAGTGTGGGAGAGCCATGCTTCGGCACGAATGGGCTGCCCGACCGGAGTGATACCACGGCCTTACAGAAAACCGACGTGAAGCAACGCTTGCGTTGTGTTTCGTCGTGTGAGTGAGGTTATCGGAGGCCCTATTACCTTCCCCTTCCCCAATCTCCCCAATCCCTGAATAACCAACGATCCTCAAACTCCTAATCCCCAAAAAGCCAGTAACGCACTTGTAACGCCTCTGATGTTCCAGGTGTCCATGGGCGACGCCGATTGCTTACCATCAGGTGATCCGTCGGCTCGTTTACCGGCTTATGCCATAAAAAAAAATATAGATTTAGAGTTCGACTGACCAGGAAGCTGCCGTTGATACCGGAGGAGAGAAGGTACTCGGCGGCGTTGCGCGAGATGGGTCCGTGGTACCAGGAGTGCTTCTCGAGCGAGTTGACGGGCGTGACGTAGTTGCTGGGCACCCAGCCCACGCCGCCGCCCAGCGTGTGCGCCTCGCACCACTCGCCGCTCTTGTTGTAGCTCTTGATGCGCACCTGCTCGCCTGCACACACACAAATAGCCGCCGCGTATTCAGACTACTTCATTTGCTATAACTTAATTTATGGATGATAATTGACTGTTCAGCTTAAAACGATAGATAGTCACTATAAACTGCCTCAATACCCTATTATCCCCAGGCCTCTGGGGAACATCATCTAACGGCTTCTCCCCCCTGGGTGAGGCGAGAGGGAGTGGCACCGACTTCTAACCTATCAGTGGATGGGGTGGGTAATTTATCAGTACTAATAATAGTTATGTTTTACTTTTTGTTTGTTATTAGTTTTTGGTTTTTTGAAGTCGGTTTATTAAGCGCAGTTTTAATTTTTTTTATTTTAACATGTTTAGTGTAAATCTACGTGATCCGAATTGCCACTCATAATCCACATAGATTAATCAATACAAATTATACAAGCCCAAACACAAGGTAGTTACTATAAACCGTTGAAGAGTTCCCTTAACAATTACACTTCTTCATCATCACCCCTCGAGCGTCCTTATAAGCACCTGGTGGATCATAAGAAAAAATGCTCCATGCTGCTTTCTCTTTTATAAAATATATTTATTAATGTTTTGTTTATATTTTGACTGTATTTGTTTTATTTCTATTGTAATGATCCTTGTTTTCGTGTGCCAATGGCAAAATAAATGCATTTTCTTGCATGCATAAGGATAAGGAAATGCATAAGGAACGCGAACGCTCGACGGGTTAATGACAGTCCCACTCTATCTAGGTGTAAAGTCCTCATCAATACAAATTAATTAAGCTCAAACACAAGGTCATTAATATAAACCGTCGAGGAGTTCTCTCGACTGTCTGTCGGCTCCATCATCAGGTTCGACTCCAGACCCTTATCAAATTGTAGGGTTTAAAAATCCTAGTCAAAGCATTTATTTAAATTAAACCATATTTTGGTACTTTTGAAACGTCAACAAATACAAAATAAATAATAGTCTGTCAGTCAGTCCGTCCGTCAGTGAAGCTAGGTGCTCATTCCAAAATGTAGATTCGAATGGAGAAGAACGAGCAAGAAACTCAATTTTGGATATTGAAAAACATAATAGACGCATTACTACAATTTTCGAAAGTACCCTTCGGTTTCCCTAGGAAGCCATCATCAGATCCTGACCTCATGGAAATAGTACCTCCTCCTTTTTTGAAGTCGGTAAAAATAACGACTATGACATATCAATGGATACTCAAGATATTTCCTATGTGCGGTTCATTAGAAACAGCTGAGGGCCGAAGATTGTGCCAAGTTCCTACAGTATGCACCACAATCTCATGAGCATTAATTAGACCTGCAAACGTGCTGCTTTCTCTATTTTCATGTAGTGTGAAGATTATTTTTTCCCCTAAATGCTCATAAAAATGTACTTTGCGGTGCGCTAGCGCCAAAACCACCTATTTTAAAAAAACCTGGCTAGACAAATTGTAGAAAATTGTGAGTACTTAGTTTAATTTTGAAGTAAACGGTTTTCTCCTAAATTACACAGGACTGCACGGTTGGTGCGGTGGCTGGGCAACAGGCTGCCGTGCAACGTGTCGCGGATTCAATTCCCGCACGGAACAACTCTTTGTGTAATCCTCAAATTGTTGTTTCAGGTCTAGATGTCTTGTGTGTGTGAACTTATATGTTTGTAAACGCAATTACGACACAGGAGAAAATCCTAGTGTGGAGTAAACGTCTTTTTTTAAAACAAAAAAAAGAGATGTTGTAAAAAAACTGTTTCTGAATTTTTCCTATATGGCGGCGCGGGTGGTGCACATAAAAATGTGCAAAACGGAAATCTAAAAGAGCACATCAAAATCTACAAAATTCAAAAATCTACGATTTTCAATACTCCCGGAAATCATTCCAAAGTTAAAGTCAAAGACCTTTATTGTGAGACAGTGGTTACAAAGGTTGTTGTGTTCTGGCACTGCTCCACCATGTTAGGCATACAATAGTTTGTGACAAAGCTTATAAATTGCAGTAGCTGTACATTATAATATTAAATGCTGATTGAATAAAGAAACTTGTATCAATTTCATTTTGCATCAAAACATAAAATGGCGTTTGAACTGTTAACGAATCTGTCAGACAAAAATTCATGCAGTGTATAATATGGTCTATTTACCAGGAAGTCAAACATTTTTTTCTTAAAATAGTCTACCTTGTCAATTTCCCTCATTTGTCTAGGAAGTTTATTATAAAATCTTGAAGACATTCAGAAGAAACTTTTAGAAAGCAGAGCTGTTTTTCAGGGTAAATTCGTTATTTTGGCGGCATGTCGGTGGGAATGAAGGTTACCAAACCTTTCCCTATTGGTTTTTACAAATATAGCTACTTCGTAGATATATAGGGAAGGAAAGGTTAACATTTTTATTTTTTTTAAATATGGCATGCAGCTATCTGGAGCACGTGCTCCAGATAGCTGCATGCCATATTTATTTGGTATACGTATACCACAGACAGTATTGAGACACTTCTTTTGGGCCTTAAAAGCGAGTTCCCTGCCTGTAGCATTCCCCCAATAAATCAATCCATAGCTAAGCGTACATGTTACATACGCATGATAGGCTGATAAAACTACTGCTTGATTTACTATCCTGAAAAGTCTATATAAAGCGTAGGAAAATTTATTTAGTTTTTAGCACACCATATCGATTTGTGTTTTCCATGACATATTTTTGTCGATCCATAGTCCTAAGAATTTAATGGTATCTGTGTTTTCAATTATGGTCATTTTATAATTTATATTTAATGTCAAGGGGGTTTTTCTTTGCAAATTGTTTTTGTTATTGTTGTTTTTCTAAGTTAATTACCAGATTATTACATGTCAGCCAATTAACAATGTCACTTAAAGTATCATTAATGTCATTTTCAAATGTATGAATGTCAGTTGGAGAAAATACAGCAGTGCTATCATTAGCAAAAAGAACCAAAGGAATCTTCACAGTTCTTGGTAAATCATTTATATAAATAAGGAAAAGCAAAGGACCTATGACACTTCCCTGTGGGACGCCATATGTAACATCTCTAGGGCTTGATTGATACTGAACTTCCCTTTTCGTCGTGAGAGAGACTTTATGTAGTTCAGTTATTTGTAGTCTCTGGGTTAAGTATGATTTTATTAAGCTCAGAGCATTACCACGTATCCCGTATTTATATAGTTTCTCGAGCAGGAATTTATGATCCACATGCTCGAAGGCCTTTGTCAAGTCCATGTATATAGCTGTTATTGGTGTTCCAGGTAGAACTACCAAATTACTGAACTATATGCCCAGGTTTCTACAAAAACAAATGAAATCGAACCAAAATATCTGTAAAAAACTACCCTAGACTCGATGGAGCCGTTCGTCCATCTCTAAAATCAAAAAAATCTAGACAAAGTCGTGCTATGCCTAAAGTTCCTTACTGCGATTTATTATTATAGTGAATGTTGTGTGACTTGGTCCGTATAATAAACTACACCTGACGAAACAATTAAGTTAAATTATCATCAACATACTGTTACTATCATATTGCCGGAGACCACACCCCCAGAGAATGTGATGGGCGGACTGCTCGTATTGCAACTCCGCTGTCAAACATTGGCACCATGGTGAATCGACAAGTTTTAATAAGAACAATTTGCTTTTTAAAATTTCCATGGCCAACACAGTGATCCACCTCCAACCATGTCCTCTCCAGTCGCTCATGCACGTATGGGAAGAACTGATAAAGGTGGCGGCCCTTGATAGAAAATACCAATCTACACTACCATTCAGTTAGGAAGTTTACCCCAGACGTCCGTTAAAGGCTTAAACAATCTAGCAATTTTGTTTCCACCTCGTTCTGCTAGTCACGTCAACGTCTAAGAGCCACATACATTTTTCAACGTTTACTCTGAACTAACGCTGGTTTGAAAGGTACTCTATTAAATATAAATAATTTTGAAACCATAGACCTCGCGCGCACTAGTGAGCACGTAATACTAACTACAACGGAAAACTATTGTATAATTAGACTTTGGCGACGGGGACGTGTACACCATGTTTTGCCACAATCCTTTAAAATATTATAATGAGGCCTTTTGTGATGCGAATAGCATTTATGATAAGTGAGGGCAATAGAATACCTTTCTTGAGACTGAGCTGGTTCTCGCCGCCCGCCTGGAAGTCGTACAGCGCCACGAACAGCTGCGGGTCGTCCTCCTCGTGGTGCGCCAGCAGGTTCTCCTTCGATGTCCATCTGAAAATATTTATTATGCCATCAGGTATACTTGACAGCCGAGTAGGTCACTACTCTCGCTTTTTGATAAATCTTCACCTTCTAAACTGTGATCTCCCGATGCCTGAGACTGATAATTATTTCAAGGAAATACCCATAGTTCACCAAAGGAATGCAATGGGCCGTTAATGGTGGAAATGTTGTATTTGTCATCGAAATAATTTTGTGTATCACCTGTTGGCAGAATCGAGCGGTTGCGGCGTGCCCGGGCCGGGATCCCCGTCGGGTAGGTCCGGGATATGAGGCAATGGCCGGCTTTGCAATAATGCTTCTGAAAAAAAAACATATTTGCTTTATATTACTGTCATTTTATACATATATATACGCAATGAATATCATTTTTCGAATAAACATACGATTAATAGTTCACAGTGCCAATGTAGGTATATTGGCAAACGAACAAAACCTCAGATAGCCCAGCGGATTAGCAAGCTGAAGTGGCAATGGGCAGGGCACATAGCTCGAACAACCGACGGCCGCTAGGGCAAAAGGGTACGCGAGTGGAAGCCACGTGACGGCAACCGTCTTCAAGTCTCGAGTATAGGGATTGCTTATAGGTCGCCGTGCTGCATTGTCGGCTATATGACCGCTTCCCACCAGACGAGATAGTGGCCAAACGCTGACCTACCGAGTATAAAAACTAGCAGTCCAGTGCTGCTGTAACGTGCTGACCCGATTAAGTTGGATGTAGGGCGCTTCCAACCGACCTATCTGGAAGTCATTGGGGACGACTATGTTCAGCAGATGATACCTTGTGGCTGAAACTATGATGGCATACCGACACTGACCACAGTACCTATGTACGTAATGAATACTAATAAATAATATTGAGATACAGCCATATTAAAAGGCCAGGTAGAACTAATAACATCCGTCGTTTGAATTGCGCCAATGAGCAATTGAACATACTAACTTAAATAACTATGGTGAACGACTAGCTTCGGCCGCGACTTCGTTCGCGTTCCCGAGGAAGCTATTTGTAAGCTTGTGTTATTCCAGACCATAACATATATATTAATATACCGTAACAAATAAAGTTTTTCTCTTTGTTATATTAGTGTAAAACGATAAACATACACGCAGAACATACACAGCAACTAATCAATATATGGAGGGTAGAATATCAATAAATACCACAAAAGTTATAATAACAGCGCATACTCATGCCATGCCCATAAATGAGAAAACAACAACAAAAGACAAATTAAAAAAATACGGTCAAGTAGTGCAGGCAATCAGAACAAGCAATGGAGCTAAACTTTACACAAAACTCAAAAATATTCCAACATATAACAGCATTTCAGCAGCAGATACGATGAAAAAATAACAGCAACGGCAACAAAATATTTGTACACAAAACACCTATATAGAACTATCTATATCAATATAATGTATCTATCAATCTTATTTTTTACTGCATTAAATCACAACAATTCCAACTTGTTTTACAAACAATCCCTACTTAGTGAAATCAGTGTCGCGTCGGTTTGTGTGGGGCAGTGTAGTATACTCCAAAAATATTTTTCTCTTCACTTAATAAAAATCTTTGGGTCAGTTCTTTGCCTTTAATAGGTCAAAGCCAAAATCATTTATTTTAATTACACCATAAAGGCACTTTTGAACGTTAACAAAAAACTAATTTATTAAATTAATTTTTAAATATATTCCTATGGAGAAGAATGAACAAGAAAATCCATGGGTTACTCTTTTTCAATCAGGTTCACAATACAATTCTTAAGTTAGGTAGGTACATAGTTTTGTGGGTTGAATTGTATGAGAACAATGAAAAATCAAAATCCAGTCAAAGAGATCGAAAAAGAAAATATCCCTAAGGACAATACAATTATACTGTCTGGAGATGACGAGTCTCAGTTGACGGCGCCCGTAGGTAGATAGAGTTCAATATGACATAATTATTTTCGAATTATTACCCACGTTAGATTTATATTCTCCTTTAAAAAATTACCGTCATTACATAAGAACAAACACAATTTAAAGTGAAATAAACAGTCGCCATGAAATGCAAAGCTCGAATGGAAGTAAACCACAATAGTAATCGCGATTGTTTCATAATGCAGTTGTAATTCTGAGTGTTGGTTAATAGTCTAGTGACACCTCAATATTTTATTTTCTTTTGCTCCACAATAAGATCTTCAGTGTCGTGAGTGGAACAATAATTCGTGAACTAAACGAAGAGATTTCCGTGGGGGAATCGAACCCGCGACAAGTCGCACAGCAGCCGGTTGCCCAGCCAACCGTGCAGTCATTATAGAGGGCTGATCACGCTAGCCATAGATAAATAAAGACATTGCAATTAAGCAAATATCGCTGGAGCAACTTAGACTAAACAAGTAAACACTAACCATGCAGTAACTATACTTAATAATATATAGAAATAAGCCAGGCAAGTACGAGTAGTGTAAAACAAAAGTTACAAGTAGTGTAAAGGTAAAAAATAAAAATTACTTCCACTAAAAGTTCGCAATGCTTTTTCATTACAGCCATTTCTTTTAATTCTAAAACGAAATAAAAATTTAAAAATACTTTCATGTTATTTCAGGACTATTTCATTCTTATTCAGACTAAATTAATAGAAGTAGTAGCACATGTAAATTCAGTGTCAGACATACCCGCCCCGGCTTCGCACGGGTGCAATATGCATGCATTATACATAATATAAACCTTTGTTAAGAATCAGTCCTTCTATAAAAAAAACCCATTGCAGCGCCATCTATTGATTACTTATTCAACCAACTCGAAAGGTATCGACATCTGTTAGAATCATTTGGAGTTAACAGATAATTATGACTGTCAAATAATAACAGACAAAGCGACTATAATTTGACATTTAAACTATCCTATCTCTCAAGTTGGATCGAACTACACATGGTGTGCGAATTTTATTATAATCGGTTAAGTGGTTTAGGAGTCCATTGAGGACAAAAATTGTGACACGAGATTTATATACTATATATTAAGATAATAATTTTTTCCATCACATTTGTTATTTTTATTTTGAAAAATGTTAGAATAAGACCATTGTATATATATTTTTTTATTGTTATTTTATTATTATGTTTGTCTTTACCATTCACGGGACCACAGGGTCCCGGTCATTTGGGAGGCGTATGAGGCACCGAAGCCAACTGCGCAGAGGCCCTTTAGACAACTTTAATCTAAATGTAATGGGCACACAAACCGGCGACTATCCCTGTATGCACTATGGAAATGCACCCAAGAACCGTCCCCGGTTAGTGTAGAACTAGTATTGTGGATAATGGAAAAAAAAAGGTAGGGCTATGGATGGGTTGCTGTGGACTGAAAAATTGGGAACTATGGATGACTATATTATTATATGTATTACATTATAATAGTCACGGGCAAGTGCTGAAAATCAGCGCCGCGACTCGAACGCACTCGGGTCACGGCATTTAAGCTGAGCTCTGGCCTTTTTGCGCCGTCTTCACTGTTTTAATTTATTTTTATGTGTTATTGTTCTTTGTGACGGTGTGCAAATAAACAATTTTTCTTTCTTTCACATGAGAGCCACTAAAACCCCACCACAATCTATCCAAAAAAGTTAGGCAGGATATTTTGTAGAAATCAATTTATTTTAGATTGTTTAGATAATTAGCTAACAAACAACAAGATAGCAACCAAACCAAAACATCTAAGACAAAAATAAGTTATTTTATAATTTCGAGACACCTCTCGGACTCTCTTATTAATCGATGTAGGGTCAATAATACTCGCCCGGTATCAGCCGCAGTAATGAAGATAATAATGGTATCAGAATAGATCATTGTGCTACCATAGAACATACCCAATCCTCTACCATAAGCGACAAGTCCGCCCGTGCAGTGTAATGCAAATTACTGTAATGACCACCTGCAGTCTATATGCTCTTGAGTGTCCATTGTAAAGTCATCATGCAGTCAACAGAAAACAGAAAATTTAACAATAATTTTTTGGATCACAAAAAGAGGTAGTCATACCCGCTTTGTGCTGTCACATTGTGTAGTTACCGATGCCAACCATGCTTATAAGTATGTATTCTAGTAATATCTCTATTGTGATACTTGGTTGGATAGCTAATAAATAACTGTAGATGTTTTATGGCATATGTCAACAGAAAAACTTAACATGACTTTAAATGCTGAAGTGTACTAGGACTTATCCAACTAATATTACAAATGGGAAGGTTAGTGTGTTTATTTGTTACTTAATCATGTCAAAACGGTTGAAGGGACCGGTATGAAATTTAGTTCAAGGATAGATAAGTCTCTGTAATAACACATAGGCCATTTTTAGGCCACAGGAAAGCGAGTGACGCCGCTGGCAGAAGATAGTAATATTATAAAATCGAAAACTACTATGGAATAATACAGGCAAAAATATGGCTTGTTCACTTCTTGAACAATTGTCACACTTTTACCACATATAATATTAATCTGTTATATTTTCCACAGACATTGTATATCATAATATTAAACTTGTTATTAGTCCCAAGGGACTAATCCCTAAGGTACTTCTTGTAAGTACCTAGACTAGAGATGTAGATATGTTGACTGTTGGAGATGATTTGCAAACCTTTAGAATATCTTGTTTCAGTGACATTAAAATATTCATTCAACAAATTGTTGGAGGTATCTCTAACATACATAATGAATCATAATTCATATTGCATCCTGCTTCATGAGATATCATAAGAAATAGAAGTAACTATTATAATTATTTGTTAGGATTTTGGCAGGCACAATTTTATTTATTGTTTTACTGATATCAATATGATATTTATTGATTTTATGTTTCTGTACAGTTCGTACACTTGTAGTTGATGTTGGAGTGTGCAGAGAAAAGATCACTCGGATAATGTAACTATAAAGTTTATTGCACCCAAGTGTAGTACAGTATAGCACAGTTAGCAATTCCTTTCTCATTAGGTGTTTACTTCGTTATTAGTAAAAACACACTCTCCTCGATGAGTGTGGAACGTAATATAGAATCACGTTTGTACGACACTACTGGATGCAGAAAGCATGGCTCATAGAAATTTCTATTCCCAGAAAGCACGTTTCGCCGAAAACTTTATTGTTAGAAAATATTGTTCGTAGATATCTCGTTCCATAGAAAGCACTAGCCATAGAAATCTTTATTCCTAGACAGCTCGTTTTGCCGAAACCTTTGTTGGTAGAAAATACTATTCGTAGATATTCTGTTCATAGATAGAATTTTTCGCCTTGATTCACAGAAAGCAAAGGTAACTATGAATATGCATATGAACAAAATGGAAATAAAGGTATTTGTTTGTTTATCCTAGATAAAAAAAAAAAAAATTGTCATATGAATAAATCTGGTTTGTTTTTTCTGTCTCTGAGAAAAATCCGTAATAATACTATTGTTGTTATGTCTCTATAATACAATTTTAATAAAACAAAATATAAATATACAGTCTTCAGATAATAAGCTGCACTGTCAGTTTCTACGTAGGTTAGGTGATATTCTGATAGAAATAACAACTAAAAATGAAAACAAATATGGAGCTTAACATTTATGGTCACGTAAACTTAACGTGCACACGCAATTTTATCTCAATGGGTTAAAGATATCTGCTTAAAAATTGAGTGAGTTCGTAAAAATTAAGGTAATTTAAAAATAACTACTTTTTAGGTGCAAAATTTCTGCTAATTCCCCTAAATTTATAATTAATAAAATAAATAAAAAAGGGGAATTAGCAGAAATTTATTCATATGACAAATTTTTTTTTTTTATCTAGGATAAACAAACAAATACCTTTATTTCCATTTTGTTCATATGCATATTCATAGTTACCTTTGCTTTCTGTGAATCAAGGTGAAAAATTCTATCTATGAACAGAATATCTACGAATAGTATTTTCTACCAACAAAGGTTTCGGCAAAACGAGCTGTCTAGGAATAAAGATTTCTATGGCTAGTGCTTTCTATGGAACGAGATATCTACGAACAATATTTTCTAACAATAAAGTTTTCGGCGAAACGTGCTTTCTGGGAATAGAAATTTCTATGAGCCATGCTTTCTGCATCCAGTAGTGTCGTACAAACGTGATTCTATATTACGTTCCACACTCCTCCTCGATAATTACTTGATATGTGATTATATACCTAAGCAATATCGCGCGATCGTACCGATCTTAATGTCAGCAAAATATCTATGTACCGTTGAAGACTGTACAGTTTCTATATATTTCCTATAGGAAGGTTAGAACGACATTTGGTATTTAAAGTTACACATTCGAGCCACCACTACCTAGTTGAATGATTATAGCTTAATTGAAATATTATTGTACAGTACTATGTAATGAAAGTGAAATAATGATAGTAGTCAATTAGATGCTAAAGTTTACATCTAGTCTAAAAGTGGGATATATGTGTATAGTCACTGTTCTGACATGGATTTGTAATGACTTTATGTGACAGTGTCACAAAATGATGTTATCCATTACATGATGGTATTATTTTGTAGAAAAAATAAAATAAATATTAACAATAAATGAATGAAATCAATTGATTAATAAATATTAAAATTATTTTGATTTTAATTTCAAAATATAATTTCGCTTTACATTTAACTGTAAAAAGTAGAACTATTACAATTGTAAAAAATTTACATTACTAGCACAGAGATTGATGCTTGATTTAGATTTAACCACAAAACCCAAGATATCACTAAACCACTATAGTAAATTGTTTTCTTATACCATTTTCATATTTGAAACAACATTTTTTATCTGAAATACTGTTCAAACTAGTCAAGAGATAAGATTCAACAATTGCAGCGGTAAACTAGTTTATCATAAGGCTTATCATTAAGGAAAGCAATTTTTCCACAAATATATGTTTTGTACAAGTACCTACTTTATTATGCAGGAATCAAAATACAAAAGTAAAACTTGAAAGTTGAAAATAAACTTTATTATAATTATAATATTATAAAAGAAATTATTAAAGTAATTTAATAAATTATCATAGTTTTTTTTATTCATATATCTTACACATGTTGTTAACATGCTTGATGCTAAAACAATGTGCAGCAGAGCAAAACTATTTGTGGTGGGTTTATTAGGCACCCTCAATACATGGACCTGATTTTGATTGACAAAATTTCGTTCATTTTTCACAAAAGTCATCATTGAGGAAAAGTCATACTCAATTTTCATCTAGTTTCTTTGCATTTCTCTCCTACCAATTGTACCAAGAATTTATGGAAAATATGCAAAGACATCAACAATATCACAAATTATATTGTTGTTACTAACTTACTCTTTTCTAAAGCTTTATGAATAAAACTTATTAACATTTTTTTTATATTTCAATTTGCAGTTTGTTCACAAGTAACTAACAACATTAATACTTCATATATGTAATATTTCTTCACAAAGTATTCTTAAGTAATACATTAGCAACAACTTGTTGTTATTTACAAAAAGGTTGCACTGATTCATTCAAGAGACCGGACAAGGAAGGTTGTGTCGATATGTTCCCAATGATTGTGTGATGTGTAAGTGTGTGTGAGTAAATACAATACACTGATATTTTGATGTGCCAAATTAGTACACTTTGTCATTGTTTTGTTACCCATAACCAACCATAATATGTGACATGGATACTACCCAATTACTAAACAACATAATTGTGACTTTACAATGATATACCTTCAAATTATTGAAGGTAGATATGTATTTTTAGCACACCTACATTACCTACCCAGTACTTCAGGTTTATTAAAACTAACTAATAAAAAAACAATGACAACATCCAATTGCTTTGTGAAATGAATATATTCCTTGAAGATTTTTGTTCCAATTTACCTGATATAGGTAATCATCCAAAATTAAAAATGTATCTATTCATACCTATTTAAATAAATCCAGCCAATAGCTTGACTAGTTACGAGAATCCGATTTCTGAATGACATAAATATAAATGGTCCTGAAGTAATAAGGTAATGTAAATGAGAGAAGGCACCGAGGAACTCACCGCTATGTTCAGTAAAAATGTTCGAGCCGAGCATGCGGGGGTCCTTAGGCACGCGCGGCTTGCTCCTGGCCGACCGCATGGACGCGCCACTGGCTGTGCCGCGCTCCTTCGCCTGCTGCGCCCCCATGCTGGCAGCTAACCGGCGCCGCCCTGCACCGCACTCCTACTTTGTGAGCTAATTCAATAACACTTCCGACGCAATGTTCGTTACTTCCATACTTATGGCCACTTTACTTTTATCACTTAACGCTTATGTTTATTTTGTCTATTGATACGATTTTTATTAACTACCGAGAGAGCATGCTGTCGCTCAGTTAATTATTCAAATACATTATAATGGGCATTAACTTTTCACAAAAAATAACACAACCTCCGCCATTATGTGACTGACATGTTTGTTTGACGTCGATTTTTTAGTTTACGAAGTCGGCTGACGAGGGCAGCACTTGTGCATTTGAATTATTGTGAATAGCAACATTGTTAAAATAAAATCTTTTATACTTAAGCTGATTTTATATAATCATATCAAACTTGATCAAACCAATACCATAACATAAAATTATTTTATTAAAATTATAATAATATTGAAAACATGATGACTGTTATAAAACAATCGTTGCGGGAGCATTTTTTTGGCCGCCTGAGGAAAGTCCTTATGGTCTTTCCTCAGGCGAACCCCAGACTTTCGTTATTTTTTATAATCTTTTTCATGGGTTACTTGGCTGCACGGTTGGTGCGGTGGCTGGGCAACCGGCTGCTGTGCAACGTGTCGCGGGTCCGATTCCCACACGGAACAACACTTTGAGTGATCCACAAATTGTTGTTTCGGGTCTGGGTGTGATGTTGTGTATGTGAACTTATGTTTGTAAAGGTACCCACGACACAGGAGAAAATCCTAATGTCGGGCAATGTTTTTTTTTAAAAAAAATGGGTTGTAAACGAGCAGACGGATCACCTGATGGTAAATAATTAGCGTCGCACATGGACACCTGGAACACCAGAAGCGTTATAAGTGCGTTACCGGGCTTACGAATTACAGGATCCTAAGCTGAATGTTCGTCAACGCATGCGCTCCCAACATAGGTAAAGAAAGACCTTAGATTATTTAACCATAAATACTCTAAGGTAAGAACGATGGACCATTACGAAGTTTGGGTATTGGCTTTACTGGTTTACTTTAGTTGGTAAACATCACTAAAGGTGCGTAAAATGCCGACCTAAATATCTAGTTTAGGGCTGATGCCGATTCGGAGTCGTGGAGAACCTAAACGGGTTACCGGGGCTCCGGCTCGAAGCGCAGGAGAAGAAACGGGGTGGTTTTTATTTAGTCAGTAAGAGTCTGACACTCCCTCCCGCCTCACCCAGGCGGGAGCAATCATTCGATGATTCTCCCGCACCTTAAAAAATATCTAGTTTAAAAGATAGAGTCCCGGGATTTAGCACAAACTTCCCTTTATTTTGGGATTTCCAGCGCTACCAGTATACTATTTTACCTAAAGGAGACCGGCGGCATACCTTCATAGTAAATTGGTCTCGACAGACTAAAATTAAAAACTATGGGTTTTCAAGGACTAATATTAGTATAATAAATGGTTTTTCTTTCTTTCGTTCTATTCAGGCATGTGTAATGTCGATATCCTGACGGATATGGACGCGAAAATCTGCGACCAAATCCGCACTATCCAGCGAAATGGCGGTAGGATGGCAGGAGTGGCGTTCGCTAGGCGGAGGCGGAAAGAAAGGCAACAAGCGCTCGTGCGGTGGCGTGAGCGGCTAGAACAGCCGGAGCTCACACGCAAACGCGTTGTCGAAGCTATTCGGTTGGACTTCGAAGCCTGACTAAAAAGAAAGAAGCAGGTCTTCAGGCTCACTTAGGTGCTGACCGGACACGGCTGCTTCGGGGAGTACCTGAACAGGATTAGGTGAAAGAAATTGCTACCATTGCGAAGGTGACTTACGATTCCATCCAGCACATGCTCGAGGAGTACCCAGCTTGGGCCTCCGAACGGCATATCCTAGACGCCAGAATCAAGCGAGGCCTGCCTCTGCCAGCAGAAGTTAGGGCTATGCTGGCAGAGGCAGATTAATTGAAGGAAAGTGGCCTCATTTTGTGAGAGTTTAAGGAGCCTGCTGCGCGGGAACGCAAAGGTCGGTCCTGTACGTAGAAGGCGTCGAAGAGGCAACTGCCTTGACGGTTAATACGCCGAATCCCACCTGCATGAAGGCGGACCTTTAGGGCCACAGGTGCATAGAGTGGGGACTGTAGGTGCTCATCCAGTGGCCTCAGGGAAGACGGCAGCACAATGGTCGCGTGCCGCCGAGCATAGCGAGGCTCAAGGGAGACACTCGTCTCCTTAGGGATGTGCCGTAACAGGCGTTGTGCCGCGGGGGCTCCGGAGCAGGTCTCTTAGAGGACCTAGTGCCCCTTACAGGTTGAAGGTGGTTATTAGGGAATGAAGAACCGATGCTCTTCTTACGTCCGGGGTTTTTCAGGTTGAAGGAACCGGGAGAACCGGGACTTTTTGTGTATTTTTTTACCTACTGCTGGTATTTTTATTTTCATAGGTCATTTATGTCTGTACGTAGGTAATGAAAAGTACGTTGTATTAATTATAGAAATATTAAGTCTTTACCTATGTAATGTAAAATAATGGGTTGATGGAAACTTTCCAAGCAGTGGGATCAAAATTATTAAAAATCCCACCCCGAAATAGACCTCGAACGAAATACTGAAATTGTTGAAAGACCGACACGAGAAGAGGCAACAGTCTTCCGTTGACATGTCTGAATATGGCAAACTCAATAGGCGGATTTCAAATTCCATGCGGGACGCGACCTGCGTGCATTATTACGCCGCACAGGGATACAATCGAGCGAAATTAGGGCTCAAAAGTGTTCGCAAGAAATTTGTATATTGGGCAAAGTCAAATGATGAAATTGAAGACCGAGAATGGTGGCATTGTCTCATCGAAGTCAGAGATTTTGAGAGAGCTTGAATGAACCTCTCAACTTATGAGGTTTCGTTGTGTTACAGAAGTCGCCGCCGTGAGTAGGTAACAGTACATTATTGTGCATGTGCATATTGCAAATTTGCGACTTAAAAACATTCAAGCTAAGAAAGACGAATGTTAGTGAAGTTTCAACAGCTGCAGTATTAGAAGTAGGTAAATAACTGCTTTACAGGAGTAACTGTGTTAATATCACGGTTATTACTCGACAAGGGAGTAAGTAAGACACTGGTTATAGTAAGGTAGAAATCCCACACTCCCCAGTCTTTCCCTCCAATAGCTAGGCGCGTTTTGAAGGCTTCCCCTCGTCATCTAAAAAAGGGCCAATGGTCGTAATTAGCTTGAACCGCTATTTGGCTATTAGGTATAAATGGGAAAACTTTGTAATTTTGTGTATTTTTGTTAAACAGTCACATCCAAACGGCTGAAGAGACCTTAATCTTTTATACAATCTTAATCTTAAATACCTATTAATATACCTACGATTTAAATTGTATATTATAATCAGTTAAATTATAATAACACCTTACACACTACACAGTTACATAACACCGCAATAAAAACACGGACAAAGACAGTTTTAGTGCAGAATAACTTTGAAAACCGACCAATACAAGTGAGTTAGACACAACCATGAAAGGATCTGCGCAGTTCACGTCGATGTTGCGAATTAAAAGTTACAGAATAGCCTAGCTAAATTAATAATTGTTACCACGTTGTTACATTACATTACACAGGTATTATGTTACCAATTAGACATTTCTCAGTGCTCAAACCGCCACTAGGCCGTAACCGCACTTGTAATTTGTGTAGTAGGTATTATTGTCCCGGGCGTCCATGGGTGGCGCCCTTTTCTTACAAAAATATATAAATAAAAAACAAAAATTAATCTTATAAACACTTTATTAAGTTAATCAACAAAAACAATAACAATGAAATAGTTCAACTTATAACATTACCAAACCGAGGCTACTTTATCTTAGAACTAAAGTCTTGGATATCACTACACTAGTTGTAACACATTTAAAGTAACTGCACCAAAACAGGACGGAACTGGGTGCGTTGGTGCATGGTGCATGGTGCATGGTGCACAGGTGGACCAATAATCCCTGCAGCACGAGCACAGCCACCGAGTAGGTACTGAAGTAGTCGCGGTAGTCCCCGCCGCGCGGTAATTTCGACAGTTCAACTAAATGACTTTCATGTCGTGTAAGTAGCATAATAGTACCTACATATTATTATAGTACTGGTTTTCTAATCGTACGTTACGAAATATTGAGTACTGGATGCGTATTATGGACTATATGGACTGGTCGCTTGGAGAGCAAAGAAACGGAACCACTAGCGATTTTTCTTAACATTTCTTGATAAATGTTTTCTGATACAAGTATTTTATTAATTGGTAACGTATGTCGTGTTAAAGGTAATTTAGTTACCTGTAAAATGAGAGCTATTTGTTGTAAAAAGAATATTTTTAAGTGACATAGGGTTCGATGAAATAAAAAAAAGGTTGTGGCTTCCTTTCTTTACTACCAACCCCAAAGGTCTTTGTCGAGAACGTAAAAAGTTCAAGTTTCTTCAACAACATTTTGAAAAATTGTTCATTCAACCTTTGAATTTTCATATTTTTTTTTTGTATTTTATAATTTGTACTATCAATAGTATTACCTAGGATTCCCACTCGATTATTACCGTTGTAAGTATATTTTGGGAACCTTCAGTGTCTCATACATTTAGATTTACTTGAACTTCTAAAGAGATGATTTATAATAATAATAAACGATTGGAGGAATGTTCATCGGTCCGTTTGCCTATTGAGGGACCTATATTCTACAAGATGTTAACAATAATTACGAACCCAATCGTCAATAAAGTAGGTACCTATCTAATTAAGACAGTATCCCGAATGTAACAAACTGAAGTCGGGGACTTATATACAATGTGTCACGTCGGTAGGTATCTTGAATATGTAATTAATAGCATATTTTTGGTCAATAATTCCTAATTAATGAAATGCACAATAACTCACATATTCTGGCTCTTTTCGGCTGATGAACCAACTTTCGGCGTGTTAGTGAAGGAAGCTAAGTAAGAACTGTATGTATGTGTTAAAGCTGACGGGATCAACCACAGAAATATTATTTTTTTATATCTATCGGATCAACATAATGTAGATATGTACGGAAAGAATGCAAATAACGGAAGAACTCCGGCCATAATCACCTGCGACACATCACACGTTGTACTTGTCGGTGTACATGTCTATTACCTAGATAACATTAGCCTACACCTACTCAACCAGTCCAAGTGCAGCCGGGACGCATCACTTTGTATGCCATTTGTATGTACATGACGGACGTATTCGGAAGTACGTACACAGCGGTACACACCTACCTTCAAACATTAGTTCAAGGAAATTAAAGATCAGACTGGTCCATATGGCGAGTAGCACACACTTTGGCTTGCATTTAATGATTCAATGACTTATGCATGTTACACGAATTTACGAAATTACGAATTTACTGTGCAGTGTTAAGTGCCGGTACAGTTGAACTGCGCAGTTACATCGTAAGGTGTGTGGCCTGCATCAAAGCTGTCACCGTCTACCTACCTACTTACCTACATCGAGGCAATGACATTAACTGCACACCGAAGTTTTGTAAATACACACATGTCATGTCCACGTCCGTACCTGATACCTACCTACCTTTTTGCGGGGAAACAAGAATATTACATTGATTGACTACCTACTTACTTCTACTAGGAACAACTACCTACTTCTTTTAAAACATTACTAACTATAACTTACCTGCTTCATAAATAAAAGTCGCATGTTTAAGTACATACAATATACCTAAATACAAAGTCTGACACCTGACAACGACGGTAGGTGCAGCTTGCAGCATGTAGATGCTGTCTGGTCTGCAATAACACGTACATGATCTAAGATCGCTTACGTACAGACATTCCTAAGTAGACAGGCCGTGTCATCGGCTCATCGCCCATTGTCAATTAATTTTAATAATATAGGTACACACATAATAGTATGCCTACAAATTCGTCAGCTCGTCACACAAGTAGCTATAATTATGCATATAGCAAGGCACATCGCATTGATATTATGGTCAAATATTTAAATAAGTGGGTACCTATAGGTACTAAGTTGTAGTTGTAGTGGGTAACAAACAGTATAAAGATGAAAGGATTGTTTGGTAGAACACGCTTATCTAAATTTCACCACGCTGTACAGGAAATACGAATAATGCACTAAGTACAGGTCCAGTGTGTGGAGTGGAAGTTGCCATGTCTGTGACGCGCTCAAGTAAACGGACAATAATTTCCTCACTAAGACGACGTGCGATGACTATTTCCCTACTAACTTGTAGTCGGCAGTTGGGCACATTTTTAAAAAAAATTACTGAATGTAAATACACGTTCCAATCTTAGATTGTTGATATTTGTTTCTCTCTTCACCAGAGCCCGAGCGACACGAGGCGAGAGTCGACTGCGCCAACCGTGCAACAGCAAACGAATCAAATAATAAATATAGCTATGCCATTTCATCTTTTTTACTTTATAGCAATAAACATATCACAATTACTTATCATTAAGTACCTACGTTACGTATCAATGGTAACTATTATAAGTAGTATAAATTAATACTGTACAATGTACATTAGTACGAGTGAAGACCAAAATCTACGAAAATGAAATAATTGTGGTCCTGCACTAACTGGCCACTGACTGGTACTTGCGAGCGCCAGTGCACTATATATATATACTGCGGCACGAGTACTGTACTCGTTCCTATACATGCATATCATTATTATCGGAATGCTCCAAGGGTCTTTGGTTGCAAGTGCGAGTAACCCAGCTACTATATCCATGGTGGGCCTAGTGCAGGCAACATAGTACAAACTAAATCCTGTTTTCGGATCTTTAACATATTACCTGTAAGTCTATATTACAAAAATATATACGCGCAGTCTGACTGGCATATTTCGAAATATTATATACAACTTTCGTACAAATCACAGAGAGTGAAAAAATAGATGTGGAGACGTAGGAAGAAATAATTTAAAGCCTGCTACAACGTCTCAGGATAGAGCCAGTGCGGAGCCGGCGTCTAGCCCGGCAGCGGCGCCTCCTCGTAGAAATCGGGTTCGTCGTCCTTGTCGATATCTTTTTGGGCGCCATCCAACTACAATGTGAAAGAATACAAATTGTCTAAGCACTCGGTAACGGCGATCATACAATAAATATGTTATCGAGCTTACTGACCGCTCTGAGTTGCAACGGCGTGAACACGTAGGCGAGGGACATTCGTAGAGGTACCATCATCACCAAGAAGAACGGCATGGCCAGTGAGAACCGCGACGACTTGACAGCGTACAGCACGGCCAAGCCCGCTGCTTGGATCACTGTGTACAAGTGCATCTTCAGCGTCGGGACCTGCAATACACGCGGCGTTTGTAACCACTCGACCACCACTGCTAGAACCTTACTTGTGATTTATCGTGTATTAAAAAGTTTAATAATTTACCCGTCTAACGTAAGGAACTTGCGGGTGATGTTTGACAGGCTTTAGTAAGAGAATGCAGCGGTCCCAGAACTGGATTCCGCCCAGCGCTGAAATGCCCATGTACAGAAAGACTCCGAACAGTACGGCCATGGGCACGAGTCGCAGCCAACGCGCTGCCAGCACCGAGATGCCCACCAGCAGCGCCACCAGCAGTCCTGTCAGCCGCTGCTCTGTAACACAAGCGCCGCCCTCAGTTGTTGTTTGCATTTTCCAGCTGGAAGATACTCAAAGACCAAAGTTCTTGTACCCTTATTCCAAATTACATAGATCATTGAACATCGGCAGTTATTTGAGTTGGTCGCCATTACTGGCATATGGGCGTCTACCTTCAATGAAAGACCACAACACAAAACATCTAGATGGTTCTTCTACTTCTTTTATTTTGTCTGGACTCTACTAAGACTGTGGCCTGTGAGTTTGATTCGGTATGTTTTTTCCTTCGATCAACAATAACAACTTTGCTATTGCTATTAACTTTGCTTTGCGTTGCTATTGTTGATCGAAGGTTTTTTCAGAGTAGTCAAAGTAGTAAGAAATACTGGCCTGAGCTAGCTTAATTTTAAAATTAATGTTATCCATTGCTATTTTGTACCTATCACTTAATTAAAATTATAATTCATTATACCTATCTATGTAGAAATCGATTTATCGAATTGAAGTGCTTCCTTTTTGATGCCAATTTATTTGAGTTCGACCAAAGGGTTTCAGTTTCAATGCATCCATCTCATGTACACGAGACGTAGTGCCAGTTCTTGCGTAATTATAATAATGTACTTCCACATTAACATCAACTGTCCGTTTCCGTCCACTACTGAATCGGTATCATCCAATGTTCCACTCATACGCCGATACAAATGATACCACAGAACATATAAAGGAGGATAGAACGGCCTTGTGGGCGGTACACGCGTGCCGCGGTTATGACCAAATACTCCAAATCTACCAAAATGTCAAAAACCGGCCATCAAATGCAATGTTGTTGTGACAGCGTACGAAACTCCGCAAATAATATTAAATTATGCCGTCTTGGACTATTGTAATGTGTCGGGAAAGAAGATAGGTGTGCAATGTAGCTCGAGAAGGGATTTCTTTCCACCAGTGACTCCAAAAACATTAATATACTTGTGATATTTGTAATTATAACATTAATATTATGACGTTTCTAGACAAAAACGACATTATCGCAAGCAGAATACATTGCTTGCAATAGATACGTACCATTTTGCACTACATAAACGATCGCGCAATGTATTACGTTCACAACGAGAGTCCCGAGTATCAAATCAAAACGTCATTTCCTCGAATCGATATAGAGAAGTGTCAATTTGTAAACAATGTCGATAATTACTATGATACAAAGGATTATAATCAAATTATACACATTATAACTAAAATAATTTTATTTATTACGACTAATTATGAAATAGGTTTTAAGTGAGGTATTTTATTCGTATTTCAGTTTTATATAATTTTTTATGTGTTCGTTATGTTTTGTTCAGTAAGTAGACTGATTTTATGATTTAGGAAATTTTATTTTACATTTCTACCTTGATATCATCTAAGCGACATCTAAATCATTTTTCGTAAGATGGATACTCTTTCATACATGCTTAGGCCCAAATTGTAAATAGTTGAAACTATGAAAAATTCTTAAAAGCCAGCCGAAATCTTAATCAATAATTTAAAATAGTTGTTGAGGTTTTCTATTCGAAAACAAAGCTATGACAACAAATAAAATGACATTATATCCTGGGAGCGATTGTATTGTACCTTTTTTAAGAATAGCTTTGTACACCTGATGACTTTTCTAGTTTTCAGAGCTTTTAGAGCTGACTTAATTTACGTGAGCTAAAATATTGTGTTGGCCTGGAGGTTGCGGCGCTGTTTCATACAACTTATACGTACTTTCTAAGTTAATTTGCACACCACTCACATTCAGTAAAGGAAATCATGTAACCGAAACTATATAATAATTCCTATTTAAATTAACTATTAAAGAAATACGAACGACGATTATCGGTTGTCATCATACGAATGTCATGATGATATCTAACAGAGACAATAACAGAGTTTTGAGCACAGATATATCAGGATATGGTTACGTTATGATATTGATAATTCTCAATATTTCATTATTTTATGATTTTTCATTCCTTAGGGAGAAATTACGCTATTTTTTATATATTTTGAATTAAGTAAAAATCTATTATTTTTGACCCCATGACTTCCCGGACTCCTTTTATTTTTAAAACACTTACAGTTGAAACCAAAACAAAATCGAAATAATACCTTTTCGGTTTTTTATACTTTTTTGATTACTACCAATCAACAATTTACTTATAATTATATTCCATGTCAAATTATTTTAATGTTAATAATGTAATTGATTTTAAAAATCAGTTATGTATTTTTCTATGTAAAGTTTACATTAACGTAAATACATGTTCACAATATGCCTTATACAAATCCGCATAGTCCGCAATACATGTAAATTAAGAAGCTAGATGCCATTAATTTTATCGATATCAATAATCGATCTTTCGCTCCCCCTACCATATATGAGTTTTTTACGCCTGTATTAGTGTATGTCAAACGAAGTGATTGCGTCAGTGTGACGACCAATAACAAATCTTTTAACCTAGTGCGTGTTGTTTATTTGTGTGCATTTTCCGCGTAGGTATTGGTCTCTTGCTTGTAGTAAAGTTAAAGAGTGGGGGACAAACGGCGACGCGTGTTCTAATACAAATCAGGAACTATTTCCTTTCTAGCCTTCTTTATATGTTCTGTGAATGATACGGTGGTGCATTACCTTTGACCTCGACGATGTGCGGCTTGTCACCGGGCGCATGCGTGGTGGACATGATGGTGAGCGCGGACACGTGGCTGACGGAGCGCACGGTGGCCACGCACTGCCACGGCGCGCCGAACAGCCCGCACATGGCGTTCACCGCCGACATGATCACGATGTCCATGTGGAAACCACTGCCCTTTTTCAATTTTCGCTCCGGTTTATCAATGATCAGCCTGCATCAGACCCGAAAACGAAATCATATGAATTTACTCACATAGATATAAATATGCATCTAAAATATTACAGCTTGTTTCGTCACACACTGAACTTTTTACTCAAGATGCATATTTAACTTGCACCTGCCGGGAATATAAGGGAGTACACAGTGACTCACGCCCCGTGGTAACGGAGTGAAGAGCGGGACGATAAGTTAGTTGATCCGTATGTTTTTATTACTATAGATACCTTGGGCCTGACACTACGAATCAAATGCAGAGAAAGTGATTCATTCATTGCTTTAACTGAGCAATTTGGTTATTATGTCAGCATTATGTATGTATAATAGCTAATTATTAATTCGGACTGTATCAAGTAACAGATACATATACCAAGATCAATTGTGCAAGTTTTACAACACGACAGAACCATTATACCCACAAGAACAGTTTCAGACGCTGATACAGTGACTAGAAGCCGCACTACAGCTGACTATTATTTACCAGGACGTCGATACTTTCTAATAAGGAGTAAAAGCAAACGGATCCTGAATAATAAACAGTGTGGGGTTACAGGACACCCTTCCTGTAACCCCACACTGTGACTGTAGACTGGTGTCGCGAGGTACTCACTCGGCTATGTGGGTTTCCATGAAGACGATTATGTAGACCATGAGAGCGGGCAGGCCCATCGCGAAGGCGGCCCAGGCAGGAATAGTGCCGATCCCGTTGTTGAGCGGCACGAGCCAGTAGCGCGGAGCCGTGGGGCTGAGTCCCTCGGGCACGCGCAGCGTCTCCGTCCACACCGGCACGGCGCACGACACGCCCACCATCAGCACGATCGCAATGGGCACGCCGAAGTCACCGAGAGCGCGGCGAGCCTGTGTGTAGCGATTATTTGCACAGATGTATTATTTCTAGGTCACTCTGAAGAAAGTAAAAAAGTAATTACATAAACATTCATTATGCGCTCTGTGTTTTATTATAGTTGACTTACTAATTTGTGCTTACGTTTGTTTGTGGAATTGTATACGCGCACCAACCAAAGTATAACACTTAGATACTAACTTAATTTAATTTAGACATAAATTTTTACTTTTGTACTTTAAATATGTCAGCACATTTTTAACCTGAAATTGAAACAATAGGTACAAAGTCTAAAATATAAAAACCGGAAATATCAGGTTTTATATTTAGACTTTGTTTAGGTAATAAGATTTATTTTGTAATCTGGTTTTCACACCAATTAAACATTTTATTTATTTATTTATTATTATTTACTTGGAAGTGAATAAGATAACTTTGAAATTGGTGGTAAGCGACCCCCAACGACCTGTAGCAAAGGTGGGCGTGCACTTCGTAACAACTTCTTAAAATTGTGAGATTAATGTATTTCTTAACTTTTACCAACAAGGCTAAGCTGCGTAGCCAGTGAGTTTTATCGCTCATCGGCTCATGATTACATGGTCATGAATTCATGATTACATGAGCCGATGAGCGATAAAAGCCAACAAGGAGATACTCACGCTGCGGCCGAGGAACTTGCCGTTGCGGAAAATGCGGAGGTAGTAGGCAATGATGAAGGTAGAGAGCGTCAGCATGGTGCACCACAGCGCCGTGTTGGGCTGCGGCGGCATGCGCGCGCCCGCCGCCGGCGCCAGCGTCGCGTTACCTGCACCCACTACCACTTACTGACTGCTTTCTATACTTACTCTATGGATTTTGCATGGTATCTAACGGCTTTATATTGTTACAATCGTTATAAGTCAAGGCGGGAGGGTCACCTGGCAGCGTAGAGTTGGTGACGACAGTCACGTTGGCAGCGGCTGCGGCATAGTCGATGCCCAGCGGATGGGCACGGAATACGTTGATGAGGCTGGTCACCGGCTCTCCAATGAAGATTAGTGAGATCAGGAAAGCAAAGATGTCCTCAGTGAACCTGTGTAGCACAACAGCTGTTCAGTACGTGCTGTCACTACGTCGTTATAGATAAACCGTTAAATACAATGACATTACTCAAAAACAAATAGGAAGGGCAATTTGGACAATGGTATCACGAGAACATAACTACGGGCCTCCGATTTGGGAACAAAGACGCATGATGTTTTGGACATATGTCGAGTGTGGTTCGAGTGGTTCGTGTCGCATCTCTGCTGCATGAACGTGTATCTGCGAGCGAGAGGGCGGTGCTGCATGCTGTATATTGCATAATATTCATTCCTTCAGAGGAATAAAAGCTAAATATTTTTTCTGTTGTTAGTGAAGCATGTATTTCCGCAAAATAACGCCTGATTCTATTCTATATTTAAATGTATACATATAAGGACATAGTGAAACCAGTGAGACCTGGTGATCTTCTTGACGGCCACACTGCCTTCCGCGGAGGCAACGGCGAGTGCGATGACAATCATCCAGATGCCGCAGTACATGCGCGCCGTCAGGAAGTCGAAGTTGTTCGAGTGACAGAAGTTAGCGAGTGACTCGTCCAGTAGTAGCAGCGGGCCCGTGGCACCTGTGATCATCATGGGCTGCCCCGCCACCAGCGCGAACAGCACGCCGCCAGCGCACGTGAACACCTGCAACACCGCCGCGGCGTCTTAGTGCTGACACTGTTACAACAATGTATGTAGTAATAGCACTACAGCCTGGTGGAGCCAAACCAGTCTTACCAAAGTTTCAGAGATGCCGATGCTGCCATACGTTTTCTCGGCCAGCAGACCGCCGAACGTGATCGCGGAGGAGAGCGCCGCGAAGTACATGAAGATGGTGGCTGCTACACACTGTCCATTCAGTGCATCGCGAAAATCCGACAAATAGTAGGGGTAGCGTCGCTTCATGTCACGTATCACACCTGCAACGAAACCTTTTTAACCCTCGGCATGCCTGGTAGGTAGGGTCTATTGGACCTACCGTAGCTTTTACAACGATTTCTGGACGTGACCGCTCTAATTAGCTGAGCGTTGTGAACTAAGTGACATCCTCCGCCCGTTATATCGGTCCTGGATGCGCTTTAGTAGTGGTAGGACGTGTGTAAAGTGCTTTCGAGTCTCACAGGCCCGACCGCCCTATGCCTATAGGGCGCCAGCGCCGGCATTATTATGTAGGTATTAATATATTATTTTTTGTGATTTTGTATCTTGTTATAGATGACATAATAAATTGTATCTAGAAACTCGATTTTCATAATATAGGTACGCTATTTTGATTGTATTGTTATTTGATTGACTTTGTATTTGATGTAAGTGTTAAGATGAGATTTATCTAAAGGTGAAGATGAAATGATGGAAGATGAAGAGGAAGATGGTTTTATTTAAGAAGATTATAAAAGTATAATCTACGATTCGATGTCCATTATAAAATAAAATCTTTATTTTGAATACAAGTTATGGTATCGTATTTTTAATGGTTCAAAATGGAGTCACCTAGGAACAGGAATATCTACTATGGGAAGTGGACAAAGGTCATGAAGATGCTACTGTATTCAACTCTATTGATCAAGAATATTATCATTGCAGTCACTGAAGAAAATAATCAATAATAATAAAACAAATATTTAAATCTCAACTGCCCTGATATTAAATCTAATCGCAGAAGTTTTATCAAAGATCTCTAAGTGTTGCACCGGGGACCGTATAGAATAACATCTAAAGTCAAGGCAGAAAAACACTTGCCAACCGTAATGGCCTCCAAGGAGAGCACCGGAATAAAATGTTTCAGGTGTGAGGATAGAATGTAACGCAATAACTGCATCTGTAAAATGTACAAGGGTCACATGTATAGGTCACAGGGAAGTAGACCACTGCACCGCTTACCACCAGGCGAGATAGTGACCAAATATCGGCCCATCATAATATTATGTAGGTATATACCTAAAAAATGTTACTTTTTTTCCATAAGAAAACACAACGAGAAATTAAATTTCGGTATAGGTAAGTTTTTGGTACCTACATTTTATTTTGTTTTGTATTAAAGTTATTACAAACAAGTAATTTAAATATTTTAATTTGTCATGCATTTCTGTGTCTCTGCTTGCGTTATCCTGAATAGTGTTGAAGTATTATAGAACCATAAATTCTGGGCCAAGTGCTTTAGTTTGGAAAAGAATATAATTTTTTTGACGAACCAAGTGTTCACAATAATCTTTTCACCTTACTTCAAGTGACTGTAATGAAAAAAAGTTGTAAGTACTGTGCTAGTAGTCGGAAATTTCACCAATATTGGCGCATTTGATAAGGCTTCAAAATGGTATATTATATGTATATACACTCCATATTAGATAAAAATCTAGACAAAGTCGTGCCAAGTCGAAGGTTCCTTACTGCGATTTCTTTATGAATGTGAGTGATTTGGATTGGAGTGGCGAGTGGAGAGATTGGAGTGTCTGTTCGTAATATTGAAATAATCGCTTATAGCCCATGTATAATATTAATAAATATACATGCACAAAATATTTCATTATATTTAATTAGTAAATATTGTGTGATATGTATAATTATATATACTACCATAACAACTATGTTCAAAACTCACAACAATGTTAAACGTTTACACCTACTATTGTGTCTCTCTGCATCACCCTAAGGTTGACTGTTAGAGAATGCCACTAGGCATTAAGTCCGCCATTATATACAATTGCAAGAAGTGTAAATAAATAAAAAATAAATAAATAAAATAGTATTTGATTACTAATTTTGTTTGTCTGTTTGTTCTGGGTAATCTCTAGAAATGGCTGGACCGTTTTTGACGGGACCTTGATTGACAGGTAGCTGACATACTAAGGAGTAACTAGTATTATTATAATAAAGCTGAAGAGTTTGTTTGTTTGTTTAGACGCGCTAATCTCCGGAATAATTGTTTTGTGTTGGATAGTCCATTTATCAAGAAGGCCATAGGATGTGAGAAAGTGTTTATTTTGATGTCTATCTTATACTGACCTCCAAATAAGCGGCCAGTTCTAACCAGCGGATCATCCGGCTCCTTGCTCGGCAGGCCACCCGCCTCCGCGGCCAGTAGCGCCTTCTTCTCGTCGAGGGGCGCGGGCACTTCGCCAGCCGCACGCTTGCGCTCCAAAGCATCACGCTTCCGACGTCGGATCATCTCGCTCTTGGCGCGTAACTCTTCGAAGGGCAGAAGTGCTTGGCGCTCCCAGTCCCCGGGCGGTAGCACGATGGAGTCGTCCAAGAACTCGTTGATGGCAGACAACAGCTCGCGCCGGTCATCCGCTTTGTATGCGATGGAGTGGAACGCCGGGTTGGACATGAGTGTGGAAATGGAGCGACCCACCTCGTGATAGTCAAGGTCGGCGCCGCTAGGACCCAAAAGAATGAACATGAACCGCACCGGGACGGGCACCTCTGTAATGGAAGGCATGAGGATTCCTTGGGCGAGGCGCACGAACGCGATCGTGGGCTGCTCGAGGAAACCCACAGCGCCCACGAGCACGGTGGTGGCTTCGGCATCGCCGGGGATGCGTTTCAGTATGGAGTCGTGGTGTGGGCGCCGCAATTCATCCTGTGAGCCGGCCGCCGCGTCTACGCCCGCCAGGTACTCCACCTCGCGCAGCTCCAGGCCGCCCGCCGACGACTTCTTGCGTACCTCGGCGCGCTCCAGCGGCAAAGCGTACGAGCTGCGCCGCCGCCGCGGGTCTGCCAAGTTCTGCGAACACGTGCACATGTCAGTTACATTGTTTCACATTACGTGATCTGCTAAATTTGTACCTAAGGACTGAAACTTGTACGACATATTCAACCAAAATGCTTAAACCTACCAATAGCCTACCATTTACGTAGAGTTCCCTAGACTAGTGTGGCCAACAAATTATTATCTAATAATATTGTAGGCATTCGAATGTTTAGTGCATCTATTATATTATACCTATTACGAGACATCTACATTACTGCAATATCAGAAAATATTAAAAAAATATCGAACTTTCATGTGGTGACCTATAATAATCTTTGCATTTTTCTATATAATTGCTATGCAATAAGTACGTATGCTATTTGACCCAATTATATTATTAGTAAATATGAAGTGTAGTGTTCGTCAGATTAAAACATTGCAAGTTCCATACAAACTTTCAACCCCTATTCAATGCCGTATAGATGAGGTTTTCAAAATTCCTGAAACACGTAAATACAATATGTCAATATGTTTTACGTTAATAGCCGTAATTCAATGATGTGTGCTTAGGCCTACATAACAAAGTTACTAATTTACTGATTTGCATTACTCAGCTCCCAGTTAGGTAGGTACCTACTTACGCAGGCCCCCACCCTCAGGACGCCCGAAGGACCGACAATTCTTAGAAATTTCGCAGCTGGGCAGCTGGTCGCCCACAACGTGTAGCGGGTTCAATTCCCGCACGACTACTAAACGAATGGTCTACATGACGTATATCTGAACTTGTACTTGAAGTTCTTGAATTCTATAGAATTTATGCCAGGGTATTGGTCAGTCAATATTATCTCAATATTATAGCTTTGTGTCACATTTTTAATAAGCTTAATAAAGTCACTGGCGTTTTGATTTCTTGACGTCAATATATATGCATATCTTGTAAAATGATCAACCAGAAGATGTAAATATGTATTTTTTTGTAGACCGTGATCCCCCAAAACCTCCAATGGTATCAATGGATATGATTTAAAAAGGACGTGTTGCCGGACCTAAATATGACATTAAACCAAACTTGGACTTTCTTTTAGATTTGTTCTTTATACAAATATCACGTTCATCACAAATTTTCTGAATGTTTGCTATGATATTTTTTGCTGTATAGAAAGGTGTTATTTTATTTATCATCTTGGTTCTTCCAATATGACAGTAAGTATCGTGAACGAACGTTCCTAAGTAGGGCTTTACTGAATGCTTCGGACAATATGATTTTATCCCTTTTTTTATTCTTTTTGTAGTAAATTTCGGTCTTCATTAAAAACTTTGATTTTTCATTTTTATATCCTCCAAGGTTTAAAGATTTACCACTTTTATCATCAGTATTATCACAAGGATTCAGGACCGGGTTCCTACTTAAACAGTCTGCTTCTTGATTTGATTGTCCCAGGTTATATTTTATTTTAAAATTATATTGGGACAAATAATATGTCAAATCGCCCAGTTCCTCATCAGTTCTAGCCTTTATGTTCAGATTTTCTAACGGTTTATGATCTGAATATACCACGAATTCTTTTCCCATAAGCCAGTGCTGCCAATACTTTACCGCTTCTTTGATTGCGAGACATTCTAAATATATTGCCTTTTTTTTCTTTTGAGTTTCTGTCAACTTTTTTGAAAAGTAAGCTGCAGGTTTGTTAACTCCGTTTTCATCTTCTTGTTTTAACACAGCTCCCACGCCTTTAATGCTAGCATCTGTATAAATTATTATCGGTTTTTCTGGATCAAATATTTTTAAAATTGGCTTCGAACATAGTAATTCTTTTATTTTATCAAATGATTCCTGGCATTCTGTAGACCATACGAATTTAACATCTTTCCTTAGTAAATTGTGTAATGGATTCAGGATAATTGCACTATAGGGTATAAATTTATGATAAAAATTTACTTTTCCAAGGAATTGCCGTACATTTTTCTTTGTTTCTGGAACTGGAAAGTTCTTAACTGCTGTTAAATTATCTTTGAGAAGTCAAATTATTTTCTATTATGTGACCCAAGTATTTGGCATAATTATTTGCAAAGTTACATTTCGAAAATTTTAGTCTGAATCCTTCCATTAATATTGCCTCAAGTAGTCTTGATATATGTACTATGTGTTCCTTAAAAGTTTTTGAGTAGATCAAAATATCATCAATAAATTTTACCGCAAAATCTGAGAGTTTGTATTTTCTTATTATATTGCTCAATATTCTCTGAAAAATTGCTGGAGCTGTTTTTAGACCAAATGGAAGGCAAGTCCATTGGAAATGGCCTTCTTGCGTGACAAATGCAGTTTTGTATCTATCTTGAATTGTCAAAGGAATTGACCAAAATGCCGAATTTATGTCAAAAGTAGAAAAAAATGACAATTCACGGTTTTTACCATTAAATCCTCAATCAAAGGGAATGGCTGTGATTGTGGAACGACGATTTTGTTTAATTCTCTCAAATCTATAAATCTTCCATAATCTCGTTTTTTTATCGTCTTATTTTTTATATGCCAGGGTGACTGGAGCAGCAAATGGGCTATATGATTCCTCAATTAGATTCTTCTCTAGTAGTTTTGATATTTGATATTCGATTTCTTTTCTATCGTCAGCTGTGTACCTGTAGGGACGTTTGTAACAATATTTATCCACCATTAAATCTATATGAGCTTCATAATCACGTACAGTGCCAATGTCGTATTTATCCTTAGCAAAGACTGGTTTGTATTTTTCTATTAGTTTATTAATTTCTGTTTGTCGATATACATCTAAATGGTTCACTGAAATTTCAAATTCATCAGTGTTTAAATTTTCGTTAAAGTTCACTTCCCATTTGTTCGTATAATTAGTTTCTTGTTTCAATACTTTAGTGTATGAAGAAACATCTTTTTTATTTTTGTCACCTAGTACATCAGGAATATTGACATTTCTTAAATTTAAATTGTTATTTTTCACATTCTCCTTATTTAGGAACTTCCCTTCTTCTGAATTGTTACTTTGTATTATATTTAAGTCTTCGTTTTGCATTAATTTGAACTTCTTTGTGCTATCTAAGCCAATCAAAAAATCATAATGAAAATTATCATTTTCTATGTCAAAAATATTCACAATATTCTCCATATAAAAAATTTAAATTTTTAGAGTTACCGTACCTTTTGTTTTCTTCTCACCATTAATAGTTTTCAAGTTTGCTGTTTGTGTAATACTTACATCTTCTTTTTCTTGTATCTTCAATAATTTAGCATTAATTAATGACACATTTGAACCCGAATCATAAATTCCAGAAACTTGTAAAGTGTCGTTTATTAGTAATGGTACTTTTATTAATGGTGGTACTTCTAGTTTTTTGGATTCTCATTATTTAGTTCAATTTCCAATTCAGAGTTGTTTACACTTTTCACGACACCTTTTTTATTATTCCCCTTAAACCAACAATTTTCCTCCAGGTGGAAACGGTTCCCTTTATTTTCAGCGACACAGATTTTGCACGGCTTTTTCTCTTCAAATTTCTTAGTTTTTGTGTCAGATTGTATGTAGGGTTTATTATCATATTTATTCTTTCTAACAAGATGTTTTAGTTTTCCTAACTCATTATACAGATCTTCGGTTTCTTGTAAAGTCTCTCGGTCAATTTTATCAATCAGATAATTAGGCAAACCTGCTGCTATAAAGTCTATAAGAGTTCCAGTATCAATCGACTTCCTCACTTCAAGTAATAATTTTTCTTTTTTTAAACCATAATCAAGTAGTGAACCCGTTTGATACTTAAAAGCAAGAGCATATCTGATGGGCGACCATCCTTTGTTTCCGAATGCCGCACAGAAATTTTTCTCCCGTTTGTTCCACTCTGATTCGACTGTAAACTTTATTAACATACAGCTGTACCAATCCATACTAGAGTATTCTAAAAAGTTTTTTAATATTTCAATCTTCTTTTTATCTTCGTTAATGTGGAAACGTTCACATTCTTTATTGAAATATTGGGCAAAGGTTAAGTTAATTGCCATTCAACGTGGCAATGCTGCCAGTCTTTTGGGCACCCTACCTCACGGTAGCGATGAGGAAAATGTTTTCTTTGATGCCTTATGATTTATTTTTATTATTTTTTTAAGGTGTAAATAATTTAACTTTTTAATTTAGGTAAATACCACTAATAAACAAAGTAACTCACCTGTAACGACAAAAAAACAACATTTTAAGCCTTTATTTCAGCGTTATTCCTTATAAGGGAAAAATTAACTCTATAAACTAAAATACAAAACATAACCATGTGACGTTCATTCTTCTAAAAAAACACAGACGTCACAATGGCAGTGACATCTCTTTATATTATGATAAACCAGCCAATTCAAAAATGAGAATTAAGCACAGAGTATTTATTAATTAAGAAAATCTAATACAGTGATTTTCTTTACATATATACTGTAAAGCAAACATTGTGGCCACACTAGGTACAAGAACTATTTGAATACAAACGAGAGCATATATCTAGTGCTAGCTAGTAGTGGCACTGAGCGCCTCAAGTACCGAGTGCTCAGTGAGTACTAGTGGACTACTGGACTACTGGATGTGAAGCCGCACTGCCTGGCATGCTGTGCACGGCTGGGACGTGGGAACACACGAGCATACTATTTACATATGTGCCAACCCCGCTACCGCATATTCTGCAAGCTCCAGTCGTTTGGCAGCGCTTCAAGAGAACACAGCTCAGTCTACGAGGAGTGTGTGTGTGTGTGTTGCAAGCAGATGTTGTCATGTATGTACATACCTACTGTCAATAAATACTTCAATATTTGAAAACATGTTCGATCTAGGTTGTGTATTGTATGTGTACCGCGATTATTATGTTTATATAGATACTGATGCCTGAGGTAAATGTGATCCACATTATGACGGCAGGCCAAATTGGTCAGTGTCAATGAAAAGTTCACGATAAAATAGTGGATTTGGAACATCCGTGCCGAACTGCTGACAGTTCTTGCATAAATATATCACTGGGCTACGGGTTCTTACATAAATTATATACTGCTTAGATATGTTTATTTAATTACATTATAGGTAAAATGAATAGTAGTTGCAACTTGTAATCGTCAACAACAATTCAGTAAAGTGACCACGGACATGACTACGAGGCTGTGATAATACCAGCGTCAGTACTTGGACTAACATACCTACTTCACTGTCACATTGTTTGTTGACATCAAACACATGACTGCGAGTCACAGATAGTGTCGTTACTAGTGTTTCCATGTGTGTGTCGCGTGTCGCGTGTCGCGTGCCGCTACGTCACGGGTTCACAGCAGATGTCCCGCCGAATTGGCCCGAGTGAAATAGTCAGTGATAAAACACACATAAAACTACCTAAGAATTATAATATTGTAGTATTTTTTTTTGTTGGACCAGGCAATCGGCTTGTCATGATGACTATTACAATAGCAAAACACGCAATCAATATCAAACGGTGCATAGCTAACACTCAAGGATACACGATGGGCAGCATGAGAGTACGACTACATGCTAGCAGTCTGGTCAGACTTGGTATAAAGGTAATGGGTTGGAATGAGCGGAGGGGGCGCACTCTATGCCGTACGATGAGGTGTGTGCTGTGGCGGCGGCAGGCGGCCGTGGCGCTGCAGACGGAGCAGCGCGCGCGCGCCCCCGCCAGCGCGCCCTCGTCCAGCCACAGCGACTGCGGGCACGACACACGAACTCTTACGTCACCGCCGCACTGCCGACCTACTCGCTCTGACCTTCGATTAGGATTAACCTTCAATATTTTTACAAATATACCTACGGGTACATTCCAGCACATGCCAAACGTCGGATTATCGTAAGTAAAGTTCGATAAACGTGACTTGTTATCTGACACGACAGATTATCTCGTTTCCTTATCAATTTTGTATATTTCGTTTCGGTATTTGAGAACGATAAGATTTGCTATATTGTATAACCACAAAAACAATTATACTGAGACCAGAGCTCAAGCTCAAGGTCAGATAGACAGGTAGCGTAGCATCACCAGCACGCGCGCCCTCTGTGCCGCTGGCTGTCTGCTCTCTAAAACGTTTTGGTAACATTCAAAACATCAATATAAATTAAGTAATTTGAAAGGGCACCGTATCGTTAGGACATTGGCCGTGGCTCACCTGCAAGCTCGTGTATGAGGAGTGCTTTTTGCCGCTAATGGAGAACCGGAACCGATCGTCGTGCACGTGCCGGTGTCGCAGTAGCAGCGAACGCATCACCACGGGCTTGTCATCCTCCTCGATCAGGCCTTCCGCTACCATGCTCTCCACTACCCTGCGAGCCGAGCGTGGATGTTATTCAGGCATTCACAGAGCGTGACGCCGCGCTCTGTACGTGTCCCGGGCAGCACGCCGTCTGCCGCCACGTACGTACCTGTACGCGACCCCGGGCAGGTCTTTCTCGTCCAGGTCCAAAAGCACGACGCCGGTCTCAAGGCAGCGCCGCAGGTTGAGCAGCGAGTGGAATGACAGGGAGGCCACGTGGGGCTTACCCCAACGGGCTGAGCCCTCTTCCACGTCCTCCTCATATTTGATCCAACGCGCTGTCTCCTTCCACTCGGCCTCACCGTCCTCCGTAGCCAGCAACTCGTCCAGTTGCACGAAAACCTGCAGACACGCTCAGTTGTCATAAACAGTTGAAACAATAGTAGATAAGTATGTGGGTGTCAAGTAAGAATTAAACTTATTTCCATTTAACGACAATAAAATATCAAAAAACAGCTGCCTGTTGGTTCTAATTATTCGAAATTATTTGCGAAAACGTCAGAGATGGTGCTTACCGAATGCGGGCTGTGATCGTACATCTTTTTGTAGGCGGCATCTGATAATATATTTTGTACTTTATCACCACCATCCTTGCGGCCTACGTGAACTGTTGAACCCTGAGAGTGAAACAATATTAGAGTGGTTGCATAGCACACAGAGAGGGTGTCGGTAAGGCGGGTGAGGTACGGACCCGCGGCTGGATCTTGTGGCGGCGCAGCGCGCGCGGGTCGTCACTGCGGTGCGCGTGCAGCTGCTCGGCGTCCGCCTCGGGCAGCGGCTCCTCGACCGGCTCGATGCTGACGCGCCGCTCGCCACCGCCGCGAGCGCCCTCTTGCAGGGAGTACTTGCGGGCTTTGTGCGGGTGCAGGTGCTTGCTACACAACAGAGGAAATATTCATTGCACTGACTGCACTAACTGCACGGTTGGTGCGGTGGCTGAGCAACCGGCTGCTGCGTAACGTGTCGCGGGTTCGATTTCCGTACGGAACAACACTTTGTGTGATCCACAAATTGTTGTTTCGGGTCTGGGTGTCATGTGTATGTGAACTTGTATGTTTGTAAACGCACCCACGACACAGGAGAAAATACAAGTGTGGGGCAACGTTCTTATAAAAAAAAAAATTGCGACCTCAAGTGAATGACAATAATGTCACAGGGTGGGTACCAGCTTGGTGCCAACAGTCAGGAGCTTAGATTAATCTTTATATACTTTCTGGAGTCGTAAATGCAACCACCGAGAGCAGATCAGCCGACACATCCACATTAACTTCAACTGCGAAAATGTTACATTTTGAATAAGTATGCCAAACTGACTCCTTCCCTGACCGTGTATTTCTCGAAACTATGAAACCCCTTGTTTTGATTGGGTACTTCCATGATGCATAACTATACCTATTACAATCCAGTCTACCTGGTTTTTTTCTTTCTTGATGGCAATTAAAAACTACAATACAGTCTAGCTAAAGCTCGCCCTTGATTAGAACGCTGTTTCACTTGACTAACAGTTTGTGCTGACTGCCTTGTGTTTCGGCTTAAGTATTACAGGGTTTTTAGAAAAATCTCAGTAGTAGCACGGAGTCTAGAATTGTGCCCGGTATATGGCAATAGGCATTTGTCTATTGCCATATACCGGGTTTAGGTTAGGGTTTAGGTTTAGGTTAGCCTAAACCCCCAGGTTTTAGAAGTTTTAGGGGGGTGAGCCTCATATCATAAATAGTGAAAAGTGGGTGTTACATTGTACAGTTTGACATTATATTTTAATGTGGCATTTGATTTTCGTTTGAACTTTCTTTTTTCACCGACTTCAAAAAAGGAGGTTATCAATTCGACTCGTAGGTCAGTATGTAATATTTCCAGAACTGGCCAGGTTTCATATATGTTAGTCTATTTCAGCGTGTGAACAACTTTCAAAAGTATGTATGTATGTTTGACTGTTGATAATATGCTAATGTATAAATGAAAAATGGTGCATAGGATCACTGTGCGTGGTGTAGGAGCAACTATACATGAGTATTAATGAAGTCGGTTATTAGAATAAATATTGTAAAGAGTCAACAGACGACAACACTGTAGTTTATTAACCGACTCCAAAAAAAGGAGGAACTTCAACTACAGAAAGAAAGAAAAATACATCTATTTACAATACCAATATCGGGAACCTTTATACACTTACTTATGACTTTATACACGAATCTACGACTTTAGTTAAAAAAATAACTAATAAAAGTACCTATTAAGAAAAATAAAACCGACTTCAAAATTGTACGCAACTAACTTACCTACGTATGTTTAGAAAGAATATAAAAGAAGTAAAAAGTATAAAATAAATACGTAAGGTGATTTCTGTCTTAAATAAACTAATTTTGATATATATACCACCAACAAAAGAAAAAGCTAATTAATTAAGAAAAAGTGTAAAACATTATAACAGAGATCTATATATAAGTAAATTACATATATATAAGTAGGGCAGGCACCGACTTCAAAATCCATCGTTGGTATATCAAAGTTAGTTGACGGTTAGTAGTAAAGTTAGAAGACCATGATGGCCAAAACCACATTCGGCAGCTAGTCTCGCAAATTGCAATGTTGCAGTCTCGACGATTGCTGAATCAAATGGCAAGGAAATGTTCAACAAAAAGTACGTTAGCTAGTATTTGCAAAGTTGTGGACAATTTAGTTAGAGAAGAGACGATGTCCACTGCTAACGAGTAACGACCTTGCTAGGTCGATGTTGTAAATAAGTAAAGCTATTGTGCTTCAATAAATAGGTAGGAACTAATTAACCAACAATAAGTGTTTGTGAATATCACGTAAGCAGCGACAAAAGACAAACATGCCCATAAATTATAGATATTAAGCAAATGGCGCGACCCTGAACTAATTGCTGCGTGCTGGGAGGGCCATCCATCGCTGCCGCGCGCAGTCGCGCGCAATCGCCACGTAGTCCAGTCTTTTGGTAGTTCTACCTGGAATGTGTTCCAGGACTTTTGAAAATTGCCACTTTTGTTGATTTTAATGTGCTCGATGCTGATTTCCATTTAGCACCGTCATACGTGCGCCACTCGGGCCGCTACCTTGGAAAAATGGTGGCCAAAACAGTTTTTTTGGATAGTCCTGGCGCCAGAGCACAGTAAAGCACTTTGGGAAAAAATATTTTCATACCATGTGAAAATAGGGCAAGCGCCTGTGCTATAAGGAGTACACACTATACACCGGGAATTAATGTAGTTTTCTTCCCGCGGCAACACAACTTGCCGAAGGAGTATTTTTGAGTAGAAGTACTTTTCAGCCGGTTAATGTATGTATGTATGTAATCAACAAAAAAATTGAGCTAGGAGAACCCTCCGACCAGGCTACGTGATCATCATTTTTTTTATATCACGACGGGTTCTTACTACTGAACATTGTAACGGACGGAATATGCATGTTAATTGTTTCCATGCAACATGGTGTTGAACACACATCACGTCATGTTCTTTAGTGAGAAAAAATAAAGAATTGTTGCAACAAAAGTCCAAAAACTGGCACAGGGTGTACTTTTTCGTCAATAACACATAAGTCATTGTAATTTAAAAACTGTATGACTTGGATTTTTGACAACTGTTTGCACCTTGCCGATCACTTTGTGCCATTTATTTCATCGTCGACTTCAGGGCCACTCTATACACATATATGATCCTACCGACATTCGCTTCAAGAACCTAACTTCTATCTACTTACTATTAGTAATATTATATTTATTCCTATGAGGCATTTTGTCGCCAGCATGTGTAGAACTTGTAGAGTATCGATCCTATTGGTTGCCAACACAAACGATATTTATAATGATTTCTTTGTCACATTAGCAGCAATAACTACTGAGTATTTTTAAATATCATTAACTTCTGAGCTTCCTTTAATCTAACTTTTTTAAGGGAGGCAAAATCATCGAATAACTTGTCCAGCCCGGGTGAGGCGAGAGGGAGTGTCAGACGCTTACGGACTAAAAACCACCCCGTTCCTACTCCTGTACTTCGAGCTGGAGGCCCGATAACCTGCTACGTGCTTCACGGCTCAGTATTGTCATCAGCCCTAAAGGGCCTCTTTTGTGGAGGTCTGATGGGTTTTTGAGGAGCGCGCGGAACGCGACGCGCCTTAGGCTCGGGTCCTGCTCTGATCGGGTGGCATGCTCGCCGTCTGCAGGCCCTTGCTTTCGGAGGCCGGAGAACGTCTCGCGATCCCCGACGCCCGGAGAGTACTTCGCGTCGGCTGGGTTGTGAGGAGGTTGTAGATCTCTGACTCACGCACCCCGCTTCCACCTTAGCTTATTATGACTGCTTTGCAAAAGGAGAAGACGGTATCCCATAGTCATAATCTAACTTAGGTTCCTTAGTTTGAGTGGGTGTTGCAGGGTGGTACAGTAATTGGTGTCGCTTCATAGAAATGTATAGTAGCACACACCATCAGACACAATAGGCTACCACATAGTTGGACACATCATTGCGTGTGATCATTTTTATTGTTTCATTGAAAACAATAAAAAGAGCAACAGGCCAGTGTCGCCGCCGCCGCCCCGCCGTGGGCACGTCACTCCATATGTCCAGAGATTTATTACGTTGTTATTACTTCATTGAAACATTGCAAAACAATTCATAGTTGTTCTGCTCTACGTCATCGGCAATCTGTATAATCTGATACTTAATGTTTAAAATCCTTATGCAAAATAAAAGATGCCTCTAAAAGTAAAGATCAAACTGAACTGTTATTTTATATTTATACTGGTTACCATCTGGGAACTAATGTAAAACTATATCTTATACTAGTTATTACATATTACTAGGTTTTTACTTATGGCTGTTCTGCAGTTCTGGCCATTTCAATTCAGAATATTAATTTGTGTTTGGTTGAGAATTCTAATTTCAAATTTATTTTATTTTAAAAGCATGAAATTTTTTCTAATTAGTATTTTGTTTATTGGTTAGTGTTACATTTCAATATTTTTCGTCATCATGGATACGTTTAAAACTCGAGTAATTATGAAATATGAGTACCGTCATGGCAGCAACGCGGCACAAGCGGCATCAACGACGTTTACGGAGCTTACACTACAAACCAATGCACCAAAGTTTTAAGTGTGGGAGAGCCATGCTCGGCACGAATGGGCCGGCTCGACCGGAATGATACCACGACCTCCCAGAAAACCGACGTGAACCAACGCTTGCGTTGTGTTTCGTCGTGTGAGTGAGGTTACCGGAGCCCCAATTACCCTCCCCTTCCCCAATCTCTCCAATCCCTGAATCCCCAACGATCCTCAAACTCCTAATCCCCAAAAGGCCGGTAACGCACTTGTAACGCCTCTGGTGTTCCAAGTTTCCATGGGCGACGCCGGTTGCTTACCATCAGGTGATCCGTCGGCTCGTTTATCGGATTATGCCATAAAAAAACACCTGTTATTGGTTTCCTCACTTCCAGGAAATTCGACCAGAAAAAAAGCTCGCGGTAGTCCGAATACTTTGGCCGAAGCTGATCATACACAATCCACGGCAATTAGCAACAGTTTTTGACGTTAGCGTCAAAACAATATTGGTCCATTTGTGTCAAATTGGCAAGGTAAAAAGCTTGACAAGGTACTACGAATTCAATGATCGCCAGAGTGAAGTACGCGTGATACGCGTCGAGTGAAATAGACAGATACAATGACAGATTAATGAATTTTGAACCGCATTGTTACCTGCGATGAAAAATGAATTCTGTTTGGTAACCGCAAGCGCTCAGTAAGTTGGTTGGACCCTAGTTCAGCACCTTTACAATGTCCAAAGCAAAAACTGACCCCTAAAACAGTAATGATCACTATTTGGTGGTCTAGCGCCGGTGTTATTCAACACAGCTTCTT